TAAGCTTGGTAACGTTAACAATAAAATAGACTAAATTATAGTATTTACAAAATTTGACTTACTTTTTTAGTCAACTTCAAAAAAGGAGACCTCGACTCTACGTCTTTTAAATTCTAATTTTATTATATGTTTTTAGTATGTTACGCAATATCTTCGCCAATTGTGAACCGATTTTGATGCCTCTTTTTTATTAAATAAACTGACCATTTATTTTTTTAACTCAAAACGGGACATGGGTTTATTTATACACGCCAGTTATCAGGTTAACAATAAAAATAAACACAAGTTTTTAATGTTATTTATTTAGAAAAACTGTAACGTTATACAATTGGTGTTCACTATAATTATATTCACATTTATTATAGTTATTTTTATTATAAGAATTGTTAAAATAAAAATCAATCACTAGTTCAAAAGCTCACATTAAAGCAAAGTTCCTCAGACATTAATTATTAAATGCAACATATTTTTTTAATGATATTTATGTGGAACAAATTTGCTCTAATATTTTTTTTTATAGGATAAGGGTAACAAACGAGCACACAGTCCACCTGATGGTAAGTGGTTGCTGCGGCCCATAGATATTTACATCTATCCTCTGTTACAAATCAAAATATAGATGCGTTGTCACCCGTGAGGACTAAGATGGAATGACTCATTTCCAGTAAAAAGTGCCTCCGGCCACCTGCACTCACCAAGCGAAACGCAGAGGTAAACCTCTACTTCACGCTGGTTTTCTGTGAGGTCGTGGTACTACCCCGGTTCGAGCCGGCCCATCCGTGCGACAGCAAAAGCTGCCGCGTGGCTCTACCACTGTTAAATGTTGGTGATGATTTTAAATAAGGATAAAATTCTGGGCATGTTTTTTTATATTGACCTTTGTTGTCAACATCGCCTTAAAACTGGAACCTGTAAGTGATTTTTTTTAGATTTGCACAATTTATTAACTATAGAAAATACTCTTTTTCTTTTTGAATATCTACCCATGCAGGTATTTTTCTTAAATCTGCCCAATAAAGTATCTTCATCTTCAGTAAGAAAGCAAGTCCACTGTTCCAGATATTCACGGCTTGTTTTATAAAATTCTGTAGCTGTACTTTTCACAAACTCTTCATCAATATTATTTGGTTTCGGAAAACGGGTCTATTTTGCGTCCCGGAGCTTTGTTTGGGGGCAACAGGACAGGTGATCGAGAAAAGGGACAGTCCCGTTTAAAACAGGACGTATGGTCACTTTATCTATACCACAATTCCACTCATAAGTGTTTGAAATGGGAAAATAGCGACCACGATCTCACATAATACCAGCGTAAAATAGCAGCTTAACGCTGCTGTGTTTCGTATGGTGAGTGTAGAGAACCGGAGACCCTTTTTACCTGGAAACGAGGCATTCCATCTTAGTGGTCACGGGTGACAACGCATCTGCATTTTGATTCGTAATCGAGGATAGATGTAGATGTATATGGGCCACAGCAACCACTTACCATCAGGTGGGCTGTGTGTTCGTTTGTCACCCTTATCCTATAAAAAAAAAGAAAAAATCGAAAATAAGTTTTGGTTTTCTCTTACACTGCATCTTGGCATAACTGCGATCTTATCACATGGGACCTAACTCCAGACTATTCACGATAGATTCATTTAGAATTGAAAGATAAAATAAGAACACCTGACAACTATCGGTCAATTTCAATTACCTCCATACTCTGCAAGAATATGGAGCGTATATTGAACGCCCGCTTAATGGCATACCTAGAACAGAATCACCTTAGTGACCGGCAATAAGGGTTTCGCCGAAATCGGTCAACTGGAGATCTTCTAGCGTATGCCACACACGAATGGGGGCGAGGCACTCGAGAACAGTGGGGAAGCACTTGCTTATCCCTAGTCTGATTGAATGGGTAAAAGACTCTGAGTGAATAGTCTCTCAGGGTCGTCGTCGATGGCTACTCATCCAATCCTGTGCCGACTAACGCCGGTGCTCCTCAAGGGTCTGTTCTCACCGCAACTCTCTTCCTGCTGTTCAAAACAATTAAAAACTGCCGAATTAATTTCCAAAATTGTACACTTTAATTCATCATCATCATCATCATCATTACAGCCTTTCATAAGTCCACTGCTGAACATAGGCCTCCCCCAAGGAATGCCACAAAGCACGGTCCTGAGCCACCTGCATCCATCGACTTTCTGCATGTCTTACCAGGTCGTCACTCCATCTCGTGGGGGGTCGCCTTACACTTCACCTACCGGTACGAGGCTGCCACTCAAGAACCTTCTTCCCCATCGGTTTTCGGTTCTTCGAGCTATATGGCCGGCCCACTGCCACTTCAGCTTACTAATTTGATGGGCTATGTCGGTCACTCTGGTTCTACTGCGGATATCCTCATTTCTAAGTTTATCACGCAGAGAAACTCCGAGCATATAGCCCTCTCCATAGCTCGCTGAGCGACCTTGAGCTTCCTCATACGGCCAGCAGTGAAGGACCACGTCTCAGATCCGTAAGTCATCACTGGCAACACGCACTGGTTGTATAATTTCGTTTTAAGGTTTTGAGGAATGTCTGACGAGAAGATGTGTCGTAGTTTCCCGAACGCTGCCCAGCCGAGTTGAATCCGTCGATTGACCTCTCTGTCGAAGTTGGACTTACCTAGTCGGACTATTTGTCCCATCCCAACAACTACCGGCATAGTTGTGACATGGACATTGAACATGATCTTTATTTTGTCCATGTTCATCATAAGACCGATCCTCCAGCGATTATGCCATAAGGACTATGTCGTCGGCAAATCGAAGGTGAGTGATATACTCGCCACTGATGTTAATACCGTATCCTTTCCAGTCCAGAAGCTTGAAAACGTCTTCCAATGCAGCGGTGAAGAGTTTCGGGGATATAACGTCACCCTGTCTTACATCTCTCTGCAATTGGATAGGTTTCGTAATCTGGTTCTGTACTCGGATAGCCATCGTAGCCCTACTGTACAAGCACTTCAGCACTTCGATATACCGACAGTCAACTTGGCACCGCTGAAGGAACTGCAGCACCGCCCAAATTTCGACGGAATCAAAGGCTTTCACTTTAATTAGAGAACACTAATTACAACTTAAAACCACACTAATAATAAAGTACTACTAATCACTAGTTCGCAGTTGTATAGCTTCAAAGTATTCGCTTGTATCGCCGATTCAATACTGACTCCGTCCTGGTCTACACCGGCTTTATATAGGGCCTCAGATAGTTTCCAGAACCTTCTAACGTAGAAACATCTAGTATGTTCGAGTACATATCGGTCCCGAAATTTCTAGAAGGATCTTGACTCTCCTAGTTCTGCTACTCGATACTAGAGGGCGCTAGTGGTAACTAGTGTTGCCATGTACAAGACAGTAATAGTGGCGCGCAACAATATTAATGATCTGTTTATGCCCTGTATCTATGGGTATGCAGACGATAGCACAGTTGTGAAGAGATACCAACCAAGTGCCCGGGCCAATCGGGATTAAATCCAGTCCGAAAGTGAAGCTATGGTCGAACATGTGAATCTCACACTTCAGGCAGTCTCCGAATGGGGCGATGCAAATCTCGTGAGATTTAACGCCTCCAAAACACAAGCGTGTCTTTTCACCGCTAAAAGGAGCCTGCTCACAAAGCAGCCGAAAGGAAACTTTTTGTCCTTGCAAGGGTGCGGCGGTACTTTACGCTGGTGCAGCTTTTTACCTTATATAAAGCGCAAGTCCGGTCGTGCATGTAGTACTAATGTCACATATGGGCTGGTGCTGCAAAATGTCACCTGGCAGCTTGGTGACGATTTGGTTGAAACATACCGTGTCAGGCGCAGAGTAGCCAGCCTCTCGGTATTCTATAGGATGTATTTCGGTGAGTGTGAGCAGGAATTATACGCTTTGATACCTCCATCTCCTTTCTACCATCGGACAACAAGGCGGTCGGCGGATCTTCACTCCTTTGTTGTCGATATTCCAAGCATTAGAACCAAACGGTTTGCTTCAACATATGTAATGCGTACATCAAAGGAGTGGAATAATTTGCCGGCGTCTATCTATCAATCCGAATACAATCTAGGCGTCTTCAAGTCACGAGTGAATAGGCTTTTGTTACGCTAAGACAGTGAGATTTACCATCTAAGGCTGCATCACCACTTACCACCAGGTGGGATTGTGGTCAAGCACTGGCTTACAATAAGTAAAAAAAAAAAACTGCGGTAGATCTAGAAGATGCTGCTAATTATCCCATAGAGAAGCTTTCCCGCGCTCTAGTTAAATCAATTAGTTGGAGATTCGATAATATTCATGCGTAGTTTAAGCTCACATATAACGGAATATTTTTCATATTCTTCACATTCAACTTCATTCAATATTTTTCACATTCAACGGAATAAGATGGGGTATTAAAAAATTACAAGCAAAGATCATCGTAGTCATTATATTACACAAGGGCTAGCTACTTGTGATTCCATCAACATTTCTTTTACAATTCAAGCGTTCATAAACAAGTCAGAAGGGCCAGTCGCCGGTTACTGTCGAAGTTGATTTGTAAATGTTTTCTGACGGCTAGTTCTATGTGGCTTACTTGATATAATATGAGCAATAAATTAATGCTAAAAAGCTGTTATTTAGTTTTCACACTGATAAACATTATTTCTTATGTTTTCATTTATATTTTATGTAATATTAAAAGTGATTGATTTTCTCAAAAATAAACTTTTTATCTATTATTTATTTTTGATCTTGAAGAACTTTAACCATATTTGAAGAATAGTGTAAACTTCCCTTTATTTATATTGTGACTGTCTTATCAAAATCTAAAGACGAATTTTAAGCATAGATGGTGGCTCTTTTATCAGCATGTCTTGTGGGAAGAAGATTTATCATATATTACTGTTTATATCACATTTTATTTAATAGATATTAATAGGGAAGAAGTAAGGTACTTTAGTATACAAAATAAAATACAAGGCAACAAAATTATATGTCAACGTTTATTTCTTTTAGGTATGCCAACAGTTGAGGAGGTGTGCTCTTCATTCGGTCTCACAGACGTAGATATTCAGTACAGTGACGCAGACCTAGAAAATCTTACCTCATACAAGCTATTCCAACAGCATGTCCGTCCACTTCTTGTCAAAGAGAATCCAAAGGTAAAATTGTAAAAAGGATTGTTACATTCAGTAAAAAATATATTAGATATGATTTATATGTGGTAGAGCCATGCTACATATCGTGGGGGGAGCATGCTACATACAGTTTACAGACATAAATTTCACAAGGACACATCCAGACCCAGAACAATTGTTTATAGGCCATACAAATATTTGTTCCGGGATTCGAACCGGCGGCCCTTAGCGCTGCAATTCAATTGCTAAGAGCCACTGCGTCACGGAGCCGTCATTAATATCATGAACTTAGTGTTTAGTCAAACCTAACTAAGGTTTTAAGATACACAATAGATATGGCTCTGCCATCCTTTTATCTATTTCTGTCGGCAAAGAGCACTGTACTCTCTGATGTGTTCCAATGTCAAGGGTAGGAAACCCTGTATAATAATAGGTTGTGATTGATGTTAACATCGCGTCTGTGGTCTTTTTTGTTTGATGTTGGTTCCAGGTAGTTAAAATCATGTGGACTGTTAACTTATATGTTTGTATGGCACTCTTATTTAAAAAAAAATGTTTTATTTCAGGTACCTGTGTCGAAGTTAATGATGCTAGTGGCGGCGAAGTGGCGTCTCTTTTGCGAATCAAATCCTCACCTCAGTGGCGGCTCGCAGACTATAGGCTCCGAAGAGAATACAAACACTTCGACCGCATCAGATTATGCCCCTAAAGCCAGGATTGGACGACCACCTAAAGATAGCATCAAGGTCAACATTTCTTTATACATAATATATTTTAAGCTATAAATAAATTACTAAGGAAAAGTTTAGTATTTGTACATATTATAACGCAAGCAAAGAATTTCATTTGCTAATTTACCAAAAAGCTCTATGGTGTAAGAGAACATCATGAAAAAAACTGGCATGTCAGGATAAAAAAAAATGTTTTAGGGTAATGTCATGGCTCTGCATTTAATTGGCATTCCTCATTTAACTCGTACAGAGTATAGATTGCTACCAAAGAAATTTACAATGTTGCCAACAAAATAATTATTGACAGATTGACTAAATGAACTGTGAATTTTTTGTGGTTGCTAACATTCCTTTTTTGATAGTTAGTGAACTGTATATCAAGGTAAAAAAGCGATTATTTTATTTATTTTTTATTAAATATGTTTTTATGCAGTTGAAAACATAGATAATACATACATATTATTTATTAGGTATGTATTATCTATGTTTTCAGATGAGTTGAAGGTGAGTTAGAGTTGAGAGTTACACTCGAATTTTCACCACTGGACGACCAATAGTATAATTTTTTATTGAGGTACTAGAATCCGATATGTGGCGCTATATACTAAGTATTTTATATTGGCTTAGTGACAAAAACGAAAACCACAAAATCTGGACCCTATGGGTGGCGCTGGTATCGAAAAATTACTGTCAAATTTCGACTATTGGATGAAAGCTAGTTTATTTAAATATGGTATTAGAAAGCAGGTGTTAATATGGTAAGTTGTATGTGTAGGGCGACGAGGCGACGGACGAGCCAGAGGAAGAAGAGGAGGAGGAGGCGAGCGACGAAGGCGCGCCGGCGCCGCGCAAGCGCGGCCGCCGCCCCAAGCACGCCGCCGGCGCGGCGCCGCGCGGCAAGCCCGGCCGCAAGCCCAAGGTGCCCACGCTCAAGATCAAGTTCAGCAAGCGCAAGAGGACCAGCAGCGTATGTTACTATTGCAATCTACAACACTGCTACCGACACCAACACAACTTATGCATGGGGGTGTACAGACCCGCCCACTTAACTATTTTCCATCTACCGATAAATAGTAAAACTACTAGCATTGTTACATATAGATGTTGCAATGTAGTTTAGCTACCTTGACGATAGGTGGCGGCCTGTTCACAAAATGTTTATAAAAAACTATAAAAATAATATTTCGGCGATTAAAAATTCTTTAGGACTGAATACAAAACAAATTTCAGCACCTTCGTATGATTATTTTACCAATACTGAGCTCTACGTACCCTTATATTTTTAGTTCCCATGACACAAAGTGTCGCTATCTAGTGTCAAATATATTTAAAAGAAAACGCAGAGATTTTCCTAGAACTATTTTAATAAATTAGGTATAAAATTACTTAAATGAAATATTATATTTTTATTTATTTCTTTTAATAAAAACGTTACCCCAACACTAGGATTTTCTCCTGTGTCGTGGAGGCAGTTTACAAACATACGAGGGTGGATTGAAAAGTACTCGGCCTAACACAGATCCATTCAATTCTAAAAATCAAATCTATCCACATTATTTAGTTCAGTTCAGACTAGTTCATTGTGTGAAGATCGAAACGTGTGCGATAATTAGTTGTGATTTTATAAATTTATTAACAAAGTAATCGGACATAATTTCCGCGAATGGAGCAAATCGAGCAGCGTGCCGTCATTAAGTACCTCCATAAGAAGGGGCTATCATCAAAAGCCATCCATGATGACATGGTCAGTACATTAGGCGATTGTGCTCTGTCATATTCATCCGTCAAAAAATGGATAGCAGAATTTAAGCGTGGTAGAGAGAGTGTGAAAGATGAACCCCGCTCTGGAAGGCCTTCGACGTCAACTACTGACGAAAATATTAAAAAAGTACTTGATTTAATAATGGGAGACCGCAGATTAAAAATTAGAGAGATAGCCGAGATTATAGGCATCTCTTATGAACGAACTCAAAACATCATTGTCAACGAGTTGGGTTTCCACAAGGTGTCTGCGAGGTGGGTTCCGCGACTGCTTTCAGTTGAACAAAAAAGGACGCGATTGACTATTTCACGCGACTGTTTGGAGTTATTTGAAGCCGATGCAGATGATTTTTTGAATCGTTTTGTTACTATGGACGAAACATGGGTTCATTACTGTACACCGGAAACAAAAACAAAACAACAATCAAAACAGTGGAGAAGACCTGGTTCACCACTTCCTAAAAAGGCTAAATCGATTTTGTCGGCAAATAAGGTGATGGCTTCAGTATTCTGGGACTCGAAAGGTGTGATTATGATTGATTATCTTGAAAGGGGTCAGAATATAAACTCTGATTACTACTGCACCTTACTACGTCGTTTACGAGAGGAAATAAAAGAAAAACGTCGAGGAATGCTCAGAAGAAAAGTCCTGTTTCATCAAGATAACGCCCGTGATCACACGTCAGTACAGTCAATGGCTGAAATTCACAACTGTGGCTTTGAACTGTTACCGCATCCGCCGTATTCACCTGAACTGGCACCATCAGACTTCTTTCTGTTCCCTAACCTAAAAAAGCACTTGGGAGGGCAAAGGTTTTCGACAAACGACGAGGTCAAAGCAGCTGTAGACGCCTATTTTGACTCTAAGGAAGAATCATTTTTTTTCAACGGTCTAAATGCTTGGAAGGGGAGGTGGCAAAAGTGTATTGAACTTGATGGTGATTATGTAGAAAAATAAAAATATAACTCATTTAGTATTTGTTTATTTTCTTGGTTAGGCCGAGTACTTTTCAATCCACCCTCGTAAATTGCACAAGGACAAACATCCAGACCCGAAACAATTATTTGTAGGCCATACAAATACTTGTTCCGTGCGGGATTCGAACCCGCGGCCCTCAGCGCAGCAACTGATTGCTAAGCCACGGAGCCGTCAAATATTATGCCATCCATAGCAAAAGAGCATCTACCTAAGTAGTTTTTACAAGATAAAACACCACACTTCATTCTTTAAGTGCACTGGCCGAACGCCGACAGTATACTAATTAAAGCCACGCCCACTGTGATGACGTCAGGACATTGAATCACAGTGCACAGTTGCTTAGGCAGATACAGACGGATGGATACAGAGTCAATATTTGTTTCCATGTGGCGTGCGAAAAAATTGTTTAAAATACATGTGTTCAGAACAAATGAACTGAAATTAGAAATAAACACATAATAAGCCAATATGTAACTACCACTTTGTAATGATTACATTTATGTTTTTAGAAGAACATAACAAAATTAGAAAAATAACTTTATTCAATTGAAAAGTATCATGCAAAATCCTGGATCTATAGTAACTTACTTAGTTAAACAAAATCAATGAAAAATGAAAAGCAAAATCAAAATTTATGGTTAAAGAATTCTTTGATATTATAAAAAGCTTTTTATAATATTTTATTAACCACTGCTTTAAACTTCTTTTCATTCGTCTTAATGACTGTTCACGAATATTTTTAGGAACTTTATTACATACCTTGATTGATACACATTAAGAGACAATTCCTGTGGAATAATGTAGTTTTACAAGATGGCATCAGTAAATGTGTCGGATCTCTTATTGTTACAAGTTTATTACGTTCCTGCATGGTAACAAATTGATTAGAATTATTTTTAACGAAAACGCAGATTTCTAATATATATAACCCAGTTAAAGTGAGAATATTTTTGTTTTTCCTTAAACAGGGGTCTACAGCTCTCAAGAGCGCCTACGTTACACAGTGCATAATAAATCAACTATTTAATATTAATCTTTTAGAAGATTTGCCGATTTGAAGACCTTGTTTCTTGATCTGGGTATAAAATTCAAAGGAAGCATAACATACCCAAATACACAATACATCAAGATTTAAACATCATAGTAGCACTATATTATTCCCATATATTTTTAGGATAGGATATAGATTTTTAAATCATGTATTTTTGCAAATTCAATTATGACCTATGAATAAAATAATAGCTTATACCTATTTATTTGATGAATTCAATGAATACTATAACCAAATTTGTAAAAAGTACATAATATCTAGTATAGTAGTATATTGCAAACTTGAAAGGAAGAAAAATATACAATATTGCAAAAATTGTGGCAGAGGATGAAACATGTCAATTTGTATTATTTTTAATTAAGCAGGAGGAAGAGCATGAGGGTAGCCTTGGTGCAAACACAGACTCAGATGCAGAGTTCGAACAAATGTTGGCTGAAGCAGAAGAACCCAAACCGCCCACAGCAACTGCTTCTGAAGAGAGTGTTCAACCAAAGGAGGAAGACCCAAATGCTCCAGTAAGTTTTAGCAATTGATTTTATCTCTATTAATTGGTAATAGGTCTCTTTTTCTGCCTGGGGCTTCATCTGGGTCAGCACTGTCTTACATATTTCTGCCATTATACATCAGTGTATGCACTCAGGTTTGAAAGGGATATATGGATATGTGAGGGTTATAAGGAGCCAGTATAATTATTACAGGCTGTGGGGCATTCTAACTTAGTGTATCTTAGTAGTTAGCTGTTAACGCATCTGTAGCTTTCTATATTAGATGTTGATTGCAGGTGTCCATAACCTGCAAGTAGAGGCTTACCAGAAGTGGACTGTCAGTTCCTTTGTTACTATAATTTTACAAAAAAAATCAATGAAATTAACCTCTTCTAATTTGTTTAGAGATTATTGGCAAACTAATAGTTTCTTATATTTATGCGAACACTACACATTTAAATAAAACTAATTTTATGGATGAAATTAAAAAACATCCTAATTTCAATAGAGAAGATGGATGGGTGCTGCCATCTGCTTGGGATCCCATAATTAATAAAATTAAATCCAAACCCAAGTATACCACTGCTAGACTTCAAGATACTGTAAGCTCATTCTGCATAAATTGAAACAAAAATTAATATTAAAAAAACTGAAGGTAGCCGGGTTAACTATGACATCAGGACGTCAAAAACCTCAGTCCCCCGTGACCACGGGTGCTGCAAAGCACCCGAAACGTCGGGAATATAAAATAAGTTAATATACGCGATAAAATCCGTAAAATTCGTTTTATTTAAAACCAATAGTTTATATTACTGCTAAATGGTGACTGTAACATATGTATGTCATCTCCACAGCCACAGCCAAAGAAAAAGGCAAAGACAAAAATTGGCAATAAGAGCAAGAAGAAGAAGAAATTGAAGACAACAAACAAGTTCCCTGATGGTGCAGAGGGTGAACAGGAGCATCAAGATTATTGTGAGGTAAGTGTGGCAACACATATAAATTATATTTGCTATATAATACTTGAATATGACATATTTGAGATGTACCTATCTAAAATAATTCATGAGATTGAGATAATTATTTAAATTAACATGTAACTTAATACTTTGCATCATCTTTCAAACTTGTAACAATATTTTATTTTTTTACAGGTGTGCCAACAAGGGGGTGAAATAATCCTTTGTGACACATGCCCTCGTGCTTATCATTTGGTGTGTCTTGAACCTGAGCTGGAGGAGACTCCAGAAGGTCGCTGGTCATGTCCACATTGTGAGGCTGAAGGTAATCAAGACCAGGAGGATGATGATGAGCATCAAGAGTTTTGCAGGTGATTTTACTTTTCATTCTTTATAACTTTTATTGTTTAACCTAAAAAAATTAAAGCTAAAAAATATAAAATGGGGAATCATAAAGTGTTTACATACCAAAATAAATTAAAAATAAATCTATGTATGCCTATAATTCTTTCTTGACATATGTTATCATAATTTTTTTTAAAGAATTTGCAAAGATGGTGGCGAGCTTTTATGCTGTGATTCTTGCCCTTCTGCATATCATCGATTCTGCTTGAGTCCACCACTAGAAGAAGTACCTGATGGAGAATGGAAGTGTCCACGATGTAGTGTGAGTATTTTGTATGTGTGGTTCAGTCGAACTGGTATCCACAATTCCATGTCTAATCGTGTATTTTGTATGTAATAAGAAGCAAAATAGTATAATTAAAGAATTCATTAATTTGCATTCATTTGGCTTCCCTTGGCAGTCTGGTTGGCAACTGCAATTTTTTCATCATTTAAAAGTTATCAGGAAAATGCGGTTTTCCATCGCCTGCTTATTTGCCTTTTGTAACTTCTTACGACACCCATGGAATGATTTTAAATTATAATAAATATGAATAATATTATTTCATTGCAATTTATCACATAACAATCTTATATTTGTTTTATTTGTTTTTTAAAATATGTTATTTCTTATTTGCAGTGTCCACCTCTCGACGGGAAAGTAGCAAAGATTCTGACTTGGAGATGGAAAGAGCAACCTCCAAAATCAAAAGCGCCGCGTTCGCGTGAGTTCTTCGTGAAGTGGCATGAACGTTCTTACTGGCATTGCAGTTGGATATCAGAAATACAGGTAACTTATTTACTATGACCCTTCAAGAAATATTAAAATTTTAAAGAACCTCCCATATTTTTTCACAAAATTGTTTTATAATATCTTAATATTAGGTTTCTGATTTTAGTTGGATGTATTCCATCCTCTCATGTATCGGTACTATATGCGTAAATCTGATCCCGAAGAACCGCCTAAACTAGAGGAACCTGAGGAACGACAGGGCCGCAAGCGGGCTAAGAATAAACAACAGCAAGAACATGACTCAGATGAGAAATTATTGGAGGAGAAATATTACAGGTATTATAAAATTAGTAATTTGATAATTTAAAAATACGAGTGTTAATAATTATTATGTTATGCATCTATCCTTATATTTTTATCATCATCATAAATGCTATTGCAAGTCTATTGCTGAACATAGACTTTCTCGGTCCTTAGCCACCTGCAAACATCGACATTCTTCAACTCCTACCATACCACCACTCCGTCTAATAGAAGGATGCCTTACGCTTACCAGTATGCGGCTGCCACAAAGTACCTTTCTCCCCCATTAGTTGTCAATTCTTCGAGCTATATGGCTGGCCCATTGCCCCTTCAGCTTAATGATCCTTTGGACTAAAACAAATGCTTTAGTTCTACTGCAGATATCTTTGTTACAAAACCTACCATGCACTGAGAAACTTTGTGCATATCCATTCCCATACCTATATTATATAAGACAAATTGGCGGATTGTACACATTGGTCTATTATAAAATTTGCCAAAGGGTATGTATGCCATGGTCTATTAACATTTATCGGAAACTGGCATGTCCTGTAAACTGTAAGTCGTCAAGTGTTTTTTTAACTTATAACATAATATATAGGAATTTCTCACACTGTGACAAGTAATCTTTAACCCAACCAGGTATTTAGGTCTCGTGAGTATGCGATATTGTTAGTGAGAAAATCCACAAAAACAGATGTCGGTTTTTCCGCAAACCTTCACTTCGCACGATCCACCTGTTTCTACAGGCATCGCTCATCTATTTACATGATCACATTATAGCCAGGGGTAGAGCTATTAGGGTTATAGGAAACTAGGGTTGTTTTTAAGATGTAAGGACAGTTATGTTACAGCTCTCCCTACCATTTCTGTATAGACATCTAACTATTGCAGAACTTTTTTGACATTACTACTACATTATGATACTACAATACTGTAATAGACTCTCAACTTAAATAAACACCCTAACACAGCTAATACTAAAAATAGCTAGTTGACTTCTAAATTTGGTCAGCTATTCAAAGATTATAGGTTTGTAGTTATAGTGCGTAATATAGTAGTGAATGGTTATTTTCAATATTACTCTGTACAACATGATTAATAAATTTATTACAATTACTGTGATTTTATGTTTTTCTCACTTCAAATATTAAAAACTGTGAAATTTCTGATCACTTTAGGTTTGGTGTAAAACCAGAGTGGTTGATAATCCATCGTGTGATCAATCACCGTACAGCACGAGATGGTACCACATATTATCTAGTAAAGTGGCGTGATTTATCTTACGATCAAGCCACCTGGGAGTCAGAAAATGAAGACATTGCTGGACTCAAACATGCTATTGAGTATTATCAGGTAATGTACAGTTTTTAATTATAATATTAGACATATATGTTTTAGGATAAAGTTAGCCACGCAAGTATTAATTTTTAGCAGGAACTGTTATTAAAAATTATAAAAAAATGCTATGTAGTGGCAGCTTAAGAAAATCCATTTATTTATTTTTACTCTATATCAACTCGCGATATTTTAAATGGTGAGAGAAATTAAACAGATGATGGGCAGCAACATCTTTCTGATAAAATTAATAACTGCTGTCTCCCAACCCACCTGTCAAGTGAGACGATTGTGGTAAAAATACCCCTATAAGGCAATCTATGCAGGAATCCTATGTTCATATGATTTTTATTAGGCTGTAATGAAGGAATGAAATGAAAAAAATATTAAAAATTCCGGCGAAAAATTCTGTAATTAATTTATAAGACACATTCCATCTAAATCTAGATCTAGCTATTTAAACATTTTCACTGTCGGTTGTCCAAACACAATAGTAAGACTATATAGTAATGACTATATTATAGTTTGAAGTGTCAGTAGCCTAATGGCAGGGCGCGGACCGCGAACCGCCGAACCGCGAACTCGAAAGGTCGTGTTTTCGAATCCGCCATTCGAATACTGTCGTGAACCACTTCTAACAAAAGTATTTTAAGCTTACCAGAAGTGGTTAAAAGGAATATTAGTAATATTTAATAGCGTTACTAGTATTTTAAAAAAAATGACCCATCATAGTATGTTGGTCATGGGACAGGGGATGTTAAAAACTTGGTGTCTGTTAGAGGTCAGGAATTTTACTGACATCCCAGCATGTGATACTTTCATGACACATCATTACATGTTAACAATCGCGATATGAAAATGGGCTTATTAATATGTTTTTTTTTTGCTTTAGGATATGCGAGCCTTTATCACTTCTGAAGGCAAGACAAAAGGTAGCAAAGGCAAGAAGCCAGGCCGAAAGAGCAAAAATAAAGATACTATAGATGAAGATGAAAGCAGCGGCGGACTGCAAATTAAAGCTAGAAAATACAATCCACCACCTGATCGTCCTACAACAAATCTTAACAAAAAGTATGAAGACCAACCGCCATTCGTATATGAAACTGGAATGCAACTTCATCCATACCAACTGGAAGGTCTTAATTGGTTACGTTACTCATGGGGCCAAGGAATTGATACTATTCTGGCTGATGAAATGGGTCTCGGTAAAACCATCCAAACAGTTACATTCCTTTATTCTTTGTTTAAAGAAGGACACAGTAAAGGACCTTTTTTGGTATCTGTCCCATTGTCAACCATTATTAATTGGGAAAGAGAATTTGAACTATGGGCCCCTGACTTATATTGCATAACATATGTCGGCGACAAAGACTCTAGAGCTGTTATAAGAGAAAATGAGCTGACTTTTGATGATGGCGCAAATAGAGGTGGTAGACCATCAAAAATCAAATCCCAAGTAAAGTTTAATGTACTTCTCACTTCATATGAATTGATTTCTATTGACTCTACCTGTTTAGGTTCAATTGAATGGGCTGTTTTGGTGGTTGATGAAGCTCACAGGCTTAAAAGTAATCAATCTAAATTCTTTAGGCTTCTAGCTGGCTATCATATAAACTACAAACTTCTTTTGACTGGTACTCCTTTGCAAAATAACCTCGAGGAGTTGTTCCACCTTTTGAATTTCTTAAACAAAGACAAGTTTTGTGATCTTGCTGCTTTCCAAAATGAATTTGCTGATGTTTCGAAAGAGGAGCAAGTCAAGAGGCTTCACGAAATGCTTGGGCCGCATATGCTGCGACGTTTAAAAGCTGATGTGCTAAAGAACATGCCGGCAAAGTCGGAATTCATTGTGCGTGTAGAATTGTCGCCCATGCAGAAAAAATACTATAAGTATATTCTAACTAGAAACTACGAAGCACTAAATCCTAAAGGTGGTGGTCAGACAGTTTCTTTGCTAAATGTAATGATGGATTTGAAGAAGTGCTGTAACCATCCATATCTGTTCCCAGTGGCGGCTGAAGAAGCGCCACTCGGTCCTCATGGAAACTATGAAACGCAGGCTTTGATCAAGGCCTCAGGCAAACTCGTTCTTATGTCTAAAATGTTGAAACAACTTAAAGAACAAGGGCACAGAGTTTTAATCTTCTCACAGATGACAAAAATGTTGGATATCTTAGAAGATTTCTTGGAAGGAGAAGGTTATAAATATGAAAGGATTGATGGTGGTATTACTGGGACAATTCGTCAGGAAGCTATTGATAGGTTTAATGCTCCAGGAGCACAGCAGTTTGTCTTTCTTCTATCTACAAGAGCTGGAGGCTTAGGAATTAATTTGGCCACGGCTGATACTGTCATTATTTATGACTCAGATTGGAATCCTCATAATGACATTCAAGCCTTCTCACGAGCTCATCGTATTGGTCAAGCGAACAAAGTAATGATTTATCGTTTTGTCACGCGTAATAGTGTGGAAGAAAGAGTAACACAGGTTGCTAAGCGGAAGATGATGTTGACTCACCTGGTCGTACGTCCCGGTATGGGTGGTAAAGGCGCCAACTTTACCAAACAAGAATTGGATGACATATTAAGGTTCGGTACCGAGGAGCTATTTAAGGAAGAGGAAGGTAAAGAAGAAGCTATCCATTACGATGATAGAGCTGTGGCTGAATTACTCGATCGTTCAAAGGAAGGTATTGAACAAAAAGAATCCTGGGCAAATGAGTATCTCAGTTCCTTCAAAGTGGCGAGTTATTCAACAAAAGAAGGCGATGGCGAGGAAGAAGTCGACACAGAAATCATCAAACAGGAAGCTGAAAATACAGATCCTGCTTACTGGATCAAACTGCTCAGGCACCATTATGAACAGCATCAAGAAGATCAAGCAAGAACTCTTGGTAAAGGAAAGCGTGTTCGAAAACAAGTTAATTATAATGACGGTAGTGTTGCTCAAACTGAAAACAGAGAGGACTCAACATGGCAGGAGAATGGATCAGATTATAATTCAGAGTTCTCACAAGGCAGCGAAGATGATAAAGAAGATGACGACTTCGATGAAAAGAATGACAATGGAGATCTTCTCAGTCGGCGCAGTAAGAGACGATTGGAAAGGCGCGAAGAGCGTGACAGGCCACTTCCTCCGCTACTGGCACGAGTTGGAGGCAATATGGAAGTACTCGGCTTCAATGCAAGGCAAAGAAAGTCATTCCTCAATGCCATAATGCGTTACGGTATGCCACCTCAAGATGCATTTAATTCACAATGGCTAGTCAGAGATCTTAGAGGAAAATCTGAACGCAATTTCAAAGCCTATGTCTCACTTTTCATGCGACATTTATGCGAACCTGGTGCGGACAATGCTGAAACATTCGCTGATGGTGTGCCCAGGGAAGGTTTATCTAGACAACATGTATTAACAAGGATTGGTGTTATGAGTCTGATTAGAAAGAAAGTTCAAGAGTTTGAGCATATTAATGGATATTACAGTATGCCAGAGTTGATACGAAAACCGGTGGAACCGGTCAAAATAGCGGGTGCTGCTAATGAAAGTGCGGCTCCTAGTCCAGCCCCTTCAACAGCTACTCCCATTACATCAGCCGCACCTTCACCTGCCCCTACACAAGTGGCACAGACCGCAGGTCCTACTCCTGTCGGTTCTGATAAAGATGATAAAGAAGAAGCTAAAGAAGACAAGCCTGACATTAAAGAAATCAAAGAAAAAGATGAACCTATGGACACAAATGATACTAAAGAAGTTGATGAAGAACAAAAGAAAGACGAGAAAGAAACGGTTAAAGAAAAAGAAGAAATCAAGGAAGAAAGACGAATGTCTGTTGACGAGGAACCTCCGAAAGAAGATGAAAAATCAGATGAAAAGAAATCGGAGGAAGTTACAGATAAAATCAAGGAAGAGAAAGAGGACTCCGATAAGAAAGATGACGCAAAGAGCGATAAGACTGAGTCGGAAGCATCAGAGAAACCTAAAGAAGAAAAGAAGGAGGAGGATGACGACGACGTTGTAATTGTAAAGGAAGAGGAAGATCTCAAAGTGGAACGACGCAAGTTTATGTTCAATATCGCGGATGGTGGTTTCACAGAGTTACATACACTGTGGCTGAACGAGGAAAGAGCGGCGGCGCCTGGCAGAGAATACGAAATATGGCACAGAAGGCATGACTATTGGCTGTTAGCGGGTATAGTGACGCATGGGTACGGTCGTTGGCAAGACATCCAGAATGACCTTCGTTTCGCCATTATCAATGAGCCTTTCAAAATGGACGTCGGTAAAGGAAACTTCCTTGAGATTAAGAACAAATTTCTGGCGAGGCGGTTTAAGGTGAGTTTTTTTTATTTCCTTTTTTAATTTGTAGTTAATTCAGATTTAAATTAAAACAAAAAAAAACCTAAGAAATTGTTTAAGAGACGACTACTACTACTAGATTTAGAATTACAATAATATTGAAATTACTTATTTTACCTTTTATATGTATATTATTATTAGTCTTCTATTGCTTAAACGATATAGAGAACATAGCCTTTTTAGCAAAGATGTTTTATAAGTCCAGATACCGTGTTGCTAACACACCGCACCGTTCATAGTGACGCCAGTATTTGATTCATGTGTGCGTGAGTGCATATCTTACGTGACGTGACGCGCATATCTTACGTACAACAACAGTGCGAATCGATTACCCAAAAAATGTGGGAGATTTTATATTTCATTCATATTGCCGTACCTATTGATTCTACGAATATAAAATGTGTGCGCGAGGCGTGTGCATTTGTGTGCGTGTGTGTATGGGGATATGGTTGGTTATGTGTATTTTATGTAGGTACGAACATCGCACTAAAATATTGAAAATATGTAATAACACCTATAATTAATGTAACAGTTAAAAATAAATAAAAAAGCACAGTAAATATTTATGTACGTAACATATATTTATAATCTATTATTATTAAATATATACAGAGTACTACACTTTTGTACTGTAGAACACAAAATATTGCCGCTTTTTACGAAGACGTTATTTATTTTTCAATCCTAAGTAAAATGACGAAAAAAAGTAAGTTTGGTTAAGAGTAAACTTCGGCCAAGAGACAGCAAATGTTTAATTTTTTTAAATTGCTCCCTTCCGTTGCTGCGTGAAGGAAGGACAAAAATAAATAAACAAAAACCACACTTTCACATTTATAATAATATTATATTATGGTTTGTCAAGAGTGATAGATAAACTTTTGAAACCGGTTTACAATCGGCTTTTTGAGGGTGGAACTATACACTCAAATGAAGGACGGGAAGAGCGGAGCCTCCTAACACAAGTTTCTTAACTTAAAAGGAGTGTTTCAATAATGTATTTAATTTTAAGTATTACTGGTCTGAGAATAAAGATTTTTTGATTTGATTTTGACTCGCGCTCTCTTTCTCGCTCTAGTAAATAACAGTTCTGAGTGACCAAAAAGGATAGAAGCACAGGAAAGTGCGATTCCGTGCTGCCAGATGTAGTTCAAGCCTAAGCCTTAAAACGGTTTAACTCTATAGCTTGGGTAAAATCTGTAAAATTAGACCGTTTAAAACCCATATACAGATAACCTTTCCGGTTGATCATGACTTTAAAAAATGATAAAAACATTTTATAGACTAGGCAACACTCGAATATTATTGCTCAGTATTATTACTTGTAAATGACATTTAGCTTTCGTATTCTTTTACAAAGAAATACACCATAAAATTGTATAGTTACTTATGAAAAGTGATGTTCTTATCCTTATCTTTTTTTCAAGAGTAATTTTTACATGATTACACAGCACAAACAGTCATTTTGCGAAATTAAAAACACCGGTGAGTGACGTACCTTCACAGTGAACGTCGCTGGCGTGATGGCGGAACGATCGAACGAATACACCAGTATTGGCGCCTTTGAAATGGAAGCGTTTTAGGTGCGCGTACACGGTATCTGGACCTATAAAACATCTTTGCTTTTTAGTAATATGTCACGTGGCATACATTATTTAAGAGCTGCTCTTACTCTTGGATGGCTGCAGATAACATCAGTAATAACACGAGTGATTTGTGAAATTTTAACCTGACATCACGTATATGTATATTTCTCTATATTTTAAATCTTATGTAGTTTAGGAATTTACTAGCTGTTCCCCGCGACTTCGCCCGCGTTCAATTTAGGATTTTAATTTATTTGCGCGGAACCCTAATTACTTTTCTAAAATAAAAGTAGCCTAAGTTACTCTTTGTAACATCTGCTATCTGCCAGTGAAAGTCCCGTCAAAATCGGTACAGCCGTTAAATAAAAACTCCGACATTATTAGTTCAGTAAACTATTTTAAAATAATTTATTTCGCCTCAATTAAAAAAAAAACACTAAATAGAGTAAAAAATAAATATCGCATTATTTCAAGAGCTATATCCTTATATCACATCACTAGTACAGTCATCACTTACTTAAGAAGGATTGTCGTTTGTCGGTGTCCGTAACAGCGTAGAAATCCATGGAAAACCACTTTCTTATACACAAATTAGTAGTTTGATAAAATTGTAGGACTTGTAAGTCAAAAATGTAATAAATTTAAAACATATCTTTTCGAACTTAAACTAGGCCTGTCTCACTCCGCGCTTTAGGCATGAAAATATACGTGGGTGACACTAAAAATTCTTAGAAAATCAAAAACTGAGTAAACTAGCAAGTTATTAGTTTTATTATATATCTTCAAAATAATGTCCATTTATATCAATACATCGCTACATCCGATGGAACCACTGAGAAAAGCACGACTGGGCAAAGACTCGTCCTTAGGGGTCTCTTCGACGGCATTTTGTAACGCAGCCACTGCTTCCTCAACGTCCATAAAACGTTTTCCTCGAAGTTTTTCTTTCATTTTCGGAAATAAATAAAAATCGCAAGGTGCAGGTCGGGGCTATAGGGCGGGTGACCTAGTAATTCCACGTCTGACGTCGCCAAGTGGTCGATTGTTTGCTTGGCGGTGTGCGACGAGGCGTTGTCGTGGTGAAGGAGGATCCTACTACGAGGTCTTTTCTCCCGAACTTTTTCCCAAGACAAGTGGCAAAAATTGTTAGTATACCACTCTGCAGTAACTGTTTTTCGATCCTCTAAAACAATTGTTGCGTAATGACCTGTCCTTCCTAAGAACGAGGCCACCATCTTTTTTCCCACGCTTCGACCTCTCTTCACTTTAGTTTACAACTCCTCGGAAGGAATCACTCAGACAGCAGAATGTCTCATAGTTTCAGGATCATAACAATAAATCTAGCTTTCGTCACCCGTAAGTATGTTGAATACAGCATTTGAGTCACTTCCGTTAAATCTTTGAACCATTTCACGACACCAATCTACATGACGGAGTTTTTGGGCCTATGTCAAATTATGAGGTATTCACTGGGCACAAAGCTTCTTGACCGCTAAATGTTCATGGAGGCTTTTGTGCACTTGACTCATACCGATGCCTAAGCTTGTCCGAATCTGCTGATAAGTCACTCCTTTGTCAGTCTATCATACGCCGCACAACACTGATGTTATCTTCAGTCGTCGCCGTAGAAGGCCGTCCCACACGCAGATCATCGGTGAGATTAATGACACCACGCTTAAACTTATTAAACCAGTTGTAAACAGTGGCACGAGATGGGCCTTCATCGTGAAAGGCCAATCGAAGCCTTTCATAACTTTCTTGTTGTCTTAAATGACATCGAATATATCGAATAAATAAATCGTCTTAAATGAAGTTGAATTACACGAATCCCCTCTTACAAATGAAGAGAAACTTAGTAGAGAGTTGTCTTAAGCTGTTAATATTGCTACTGAATAGACAGATCAAGAAAATGATTTAATTACTCCTGTGAGAGTTGAACTGGTTATATTTGAAAATGGTGTGCTAAGATAACGAGGAGTACCTTTAACTTATCGTTGGTTTATGAATATTTAAAAACTATTTCGCCCACCAGTGTAGAGCCGGAGCGTATATTTTCTTCAGTAGACATAGTCTGCAATAGACTGCGCTCGTCTTTGAGTAACTAAATTTTGGATGCATTAATTTTTCTGCGTTCTTTTTATTTAAGTAAAATTAAGAAGTAGTGTTTAATTAAAACTATTTATTTTTCATAAGTGAGCTGATTTATGTTTTGTTATATTTAATAACAGTATCCGTAAAGTATATTATTCTATGATAGAAAATTGTATTGTTATAATGCAATAGAGTTTCTATTCTATATTATTGTTAGGTCAATTGATATTCAAATTTAATTAATGTGAAATAACTGTGTATGTGCAATTGTAAAATGAGTGTTCCTAGTTAGTGAGATGTTTCATTTGTTTTATATTTAATTAGAAAGAAACGATTGCAAGTATTACTTGAATGATTACTTTTAAAAATACTTTATGTTAACCAAATAAAAAGAACTGATCATTTATAATACTTAGATAGATTAAGTACTTTCTTAGTATTCCATTTTGACTCAGAAGTGATTGTTACCAAAAGACTTGAAACCTACGATTTGCAATAAACTGTTTTATTTATAAATATGATTATAACATCGTTATTCACATTGAACGAAAGTAACCTCCAATCTAAAAGAAAGAAAAGAACCGAAAGAACCGGGTACCCCGGTCCAGCAAAAGCGAAAATGGGCCGTTTCTCGATGGCCTTCTTACTCACAACACCTAACCCTACAGTAGAAGCGGTCTTAACAAATGCGCGTAACGGGCTAAGTGATAAAGACACTCGCACGCGGACGTTAGGTGCATTTTGATTTAATACGCGCGCCGTATTAATTTATGTTTCGACGTAGGCCAATTTCACGAAGGTCACCTCCGAGGCGTGCAAAGTATTATGAACATTAGCGACGTTGTAACTAGGTTTAAACTCGCAAGTTTGCTATCAGAGAGTGAACCTTCTGTTCTTGTACTATTATTTATTCTATGCTTAAACTAACAAAACAACATAAATGCACATTTATACTCAACACCGATATTGTATTTAAAACATCTAACTGGAGAAAAGATGTGTGACTAAACTATTGAATATATTATTTATTTTTATTGATGTTTTGTGAATGGTCAAGTTATACTGAATTGAATGCGTCTTAGAATTTGTGTCATCGTCATAGATATCCTAAAATGTAGGCTGATCGAAGTGTTGTCCTCCAGCTGCTGGAGCAGGCGCTGGTGATCGAGGAGCAGCTGCGGCGCGCCGCGTACCTGAACCTGACGCAGGACCCCAACCACCCCGCCATGTCGCTGAACGCGCGCTTCGCCGAGGTGGAGTGCCTAGCCGAGTCTCACCAGCACCTTAGCAAGGAGTCGCTCGCCGGAAACAAACCCGCCAACGCCGTCTTGCATAAGGTAATATTGTGAAATGTTGTAATGGTCTTTATCTTGTATTGTAAGAAATTTTCTAAATAATGATTATAATATTTATGTCAAAAACACTATAATGTATATATCGAGAGAATGTTCTGTGGAAGAGGCATTATCATTTAATGATTTTCGTAGTTTTTTTTTATTTGGTATGTAAAGAAATAATGATATACTTTTAAATTATAAATCATTTAATCAACAATAATTAATTTACTTACTATATAACATTGTTAATTGATGAGTGCATCATTAAGTTTATTGCTAAAATTCAGTTTTTGACAATATAATAATGAAATTATATACAGGGTTATTTTTCAAAGAGTAATTTAATTTTAAACTTAATTTCAAACATATAAATAATGATATATCATTATTGCAGTTTTTAAAATACGAGTAAATATAGCTTCTACTTTAATTTGAAATTATCACAAATTTAATGTGATTTATGGACAAACACGTTTTTGCCTACCGATCGATCCTTACGAATGTGTGCGTGCGCAGTAAAATTAGTTAAAATAATGCATTACCATGCATTTTGAATTTAAAAAATAAAAAGGACTGAATGTTTGGGATTTTTTTAATAAATTTTTCTTCACCAATTGCCTATATTACTTATAGTCCAGGCAATGAAGCATTTTGGCTCGCAATTTTTTCGTCCACCATGGATTTACTTGAAATTTGCACAGAAGGTAGGGAATAGCTCAAGGATCATTGTCTATATCATGCCGCTGTACGCTAGAGCTTTGGGGGTGGTTGCCACCCCATCTCGGGAGTGGAATTTTTTTATTACATTTTAACTATAGGAATCGACGGAAAAAGTAATTCTAAGAAAAAAAATGTTATAAACGTTTTTTTCGTAAAACTAATATTTTTTGAGTTATTCAAAGTTGAAAGTAACAGTTTTTTGACGAAAAAATCGCCTTAAATGGTTTTTTGCGAATAACTCTAAAAATATGCATTTTATCAAAAAAGTGTAGAGAGCTAAATTGTAGCTTTTAAAAAAACAAAAACAATGCTTTTTTTATAATTTTTCTACGACAAATACGAACTGAGATACAGCAAATTAATGCTTAGCTTTTTTCGTCAAATGCATAAATTGGAAGATTTAAAGCGAAATAACGAGAAAAATTTGCATTATTCGAAGAAAGCTCATAGAATCTTTTTTAATTAGAGTTTTCAAACAAAAAAAAATGTCTCTAGCATGAAAATTGTGACCGACTTATGATCAAAATATCTTATTTTGATCATAAGTCGGTCAATTTTCGATATCCGCTTTTTTCTACGAAAAAAATCTGTGAAAACAAAACCCAAAGTACCCCCTAATTAAGATTGATCGCCACCCTTCAGTGATTCTCTTTATATATGTCCTATTAATACACTCACCAACTTTTTTGTTTTTTTGTTTGTCCAATTTAAAATGCCTAATTTTAGAAAAATTGGAGTTTAAAGAGAAAACGATTTTTTTCAATTTCGTGTTTTTAACCCTTTTCTTAAAAATATCTCCCAAAATACTAAAGATACGAAAAAAAAACGATATAGTACTAAATTGTATCTTTTTTAATGACAAAAATTTTCCTGTGTGCAGATTTTTTGTACAGTGTATATTCGGCGAGATATAGCCATTTAACACCTACATTTACGATCGAACATCACCTTATTCAAGCGCTTTAAAGTCATTAAAAGCGCTTAAACCCATTTAAAAATTAAGGTATCTTAACAGAAACAGAAACAGAAACTTTTTTATTCAATATAGATTATAAATAATACTTATTGAAAGTCACTCTTTTGTATGATTACCAGTAATTTAATTCTCATAGTCTTATAGGTCCTGAAAGCCCTACAAAATCGTTTCTGCAAATCACCTAATCTAATCATCCTGATCACCTAAAATGAAGAAGCTATGCTTAAAAAACCGATCAATTTTTTTTTTTCGAAAAATTCGAATTACCCGCTTCGGAGCGTAGTAATCTACATAACCGGTATATTCGGCCGTTATACGATATGTTCCACTTTTTCGATTCTTATTGGAAGACAGAGAAGAAGAAACATTTGCTCACGTGTATGCGTGTGTGAGTGTATATTTCGTTGATTTCTCACCAGTGTATTCTAAAGTTCGAAGACAGTAGCACGTGCTCTGACAATTTCAATGTTTTCAAGGCTACTTTTGAACAAGGGTAGGTTGAAAGATTATGAAATTGTATCCTAAAGCATGAAACAATCAATTATTACGTTGCTATATTGCTGCAGCTATATTAGTAATATAGTTGTAGCACGAATGGGTCGGCTCGACCGGTGAAGGACCACGCTCTCACAGAAAACCAGCGTAAAATAGCAGCTTTACGCTGCTGTGTTTCGTATGGTGAGTGTAGAGAACCAGAGACCCTTTTTACTGGCAAAGAGGCATTCCATCTTAGTCCTCACGGGTGACAACGCATCTGCATCTTGAGTCTTTATTGAGGATAGATGTAGATGTTTATGGGTCATAGTAACCACTTACCATCAGGTGGACTGTGTGCTCGTTTGTCACCCTATCCTATAAAAATTTTTTTTTAACTATTTTTACCCATATTTAGATTTTTAATGTTATTTTATAATTTTTGACAATAAGGGGTAGTTTTCACCCCTAAAAAACAAAAAGCGTATAACGGCACAATATAGAAAATGAACTAGAGGGTGAAATAAGCCTAATTCCAAATTTTTGTACAAATCGGTGCTGGACGAAAAAGTTGCGAGGTTTTACCAATTTTTTTAGCTTCATTTCATTCTGCAAATTTGGCTGCTTTTTGCAAATTAACCCTGTATATTAATGAATAAAGAGTATGCAAATATGATCCCAAATTTGTTATAAATTAAGATGCCCTAAATGTGTTGATAGGTCTAAAATTGACGAAAGTGCTATAAAATTTGTTAAGAGTTTATAAAAATTTTGCATTCTGTTTCTGCCTTCTGAAGTCGCTTATTTTGTAAATAGTAACATGTTATTTAAATTTTTAATAATATTATTACTACTTTTTGTTGACACACCTTACTTAGTTTGCAACTTTTAAGTTCAAATCCAACTCTACGGTTACATTGGCGACTTCACTCTGGTTATTTATAGAGTTTAGTGCTTTTTACTAGTCCCATTTTTTAGTTAAGTCTTTAATGATCTTTACTTCGAGCAGTCGATCGAGAGCGTATTTTGAAGTGTGTGTGTTGAATGAATATGAAGATGGTCGTGGTGGTGCGTGTGGCATGCGCAGGTGCTGAACCAGCTGGAGGAGCTGCTGTCGGACATGAAGTCGGACGTGTCGCGGCTGCCGGCCACGCTGGCGCGCATCCCGCCCGTGGCGCAGCGCCTGCAGATGTCCGAGCGCTCCATCCTGTCGCGCCTTGCCGCCACCGCTGGCAACCCCGTGCCCGCAGGTACCTTACCCCTCCTATAAAATAGCTATAAAATAACTTTGTTATTTTATAGCTTCTCACCTCGACTTCTTTAACCTACTCTGTTTTATTACATAAAGTAGTTTATATGAGTAAGTGTTCTCAAGTCACTAGAGTCCGTTTCAAAAAACAAGTTTCATGGAAATTATGCGAATTAAAATGTAAAGAATAATACCGCGGCTAAGAGACTTCATTCGTGAGAAACTCTTATTTAAACCCAAGACTATCAATAAACTACGTTTTGTTAAGACCGACATATGTACACCATAAAAATAGCATGGTTAAACTGATATTTATCGCTTCGTATTGCACACTAACTTTTTGTTGGGTAAAATCAGCAAAAAAAACCAAACTCAATGTGTATTTACGTAATAAAAGATTCACTTTTATTTAATTTTATATTGTAACCACATTTTATTGTATTTTCATTAAAATAAATAAAATATAATATCGGTGTATTATAACGGTAGCATAAAATGACGTTTAGGGAGCAAAGTTGTCAGTAAACCCAATCTTATTCTTATCCCGCGTGCTTACTAAATTTCAGATAATGTAATATAGTCATTCCAAGACAATTTTATCAGTTTGGTAATCAGCCAATACTATATGAAAATATGGAATTTCTGTATACCTATATCTATACAAATAAATAAAATTGAAGTATCTGTTTGTAATGTCAAAATAGCAATTTTTTACTAAACGCAAATGAAAGTATATACAGTACTTAAAACAAAAACACAATTTTTTAAATTTTTGTCCGTCTGTTTTTTCTAACTAATCTCTGGAATGGCTGGACCGATTTTGTCGGGACTTTCACTGGCAGATAGTTGATGTTATAAGGAGTAACTTACTTTTTGTTTTTGAAAAAGAATTAGGGTTCCGCGCAAAAAAATTATAACATGAAATCTAATCGTAATAAATTACACGCGTGCGAAGTCGCGGGGAACAGCTAGTTTATAATAAACATGGTCCAGATCTTATAAGAAATCCATGAGAAAATCATCAAACTTAAAATTAATCCCAATTTACCATGTTCGTGGATTTCGATTATTATATTCTTTTTAGTTAAATTGAGTTCGGTTTTTATAAAAGTTCAATTAATTACACACATTCGCGGCTTTGCATAAGAATTATATGAAATACATTATACATATATAAACTCTCACAGATGTCCCCAGTAAGAAATATGCATGTACAGAACATGCGTGTCGCCTACAATAACAAGATGTGATATTTGTGATGTTTCTACTGCTTGTAACTCTATTATTCGGGCATTTCATTTATCATCCCTTAGATTTCAAATAACACTCGTGGGATATTGCAGTACAGTGGATTTTTTAACGACTTGATAGCATTTCGTTTGTTTTTTAAGTCTTTAAGAACACGCCGTTGGGCATGAGTAGCTTGAAAGATTTGCCCATGTTCACCACAGCTGGAAATACCCCCAAATCTGATGAGCATACACCCTGACTCTCTGATCCTTATTACTAATCAGTGGAATATAGATATAATATTTTTGAACGGAACTTCTAACATCATGTGTTCGTTAGTTCCCACTATACACAGTGTACTGGGTGCAGGTGATGTTCACAGTTTCAATATTGCTCCTCACACTCCGCTTATGCCCTTTTACACTTCAGATTTTTAGGCTTTAATATTAAGAGGTCCCCATAGGAAAGGAAAGTTCTTGAATGGCATCCACAAACCATTGTAGGGTGGGCCCCCACGAAATGGAGAAATGACATGGTAACACATGCAGAAAGTGGATGCATGCTGGTGGCTCGGGACCATGATTTGTGGTATTTAAGGATATTATTCAACACTTGTTCAAAAATTATGATTAACAGATTACAAAAGAGCCGATCGATTTACATTACATACACCCAGGAGTTGTGATGGGTCAATAGATGCACTTACACTGTTACCACATACCACATTCCAAATTATTTTATGAAAATAACCAAATGTGTGAACTGTTGTCATAACTGATACCGTTACCGTTACGGCCTATTAAAGTCCACTGCTGAACATAGGCCCATCGGTTTGCCTCATAGGGGGGATATTTGCTATCTTTGCAGAAAGCTTGGCAAGCGAATTGGTAACTGCAGTTTTTTATTTTTAGTCGTTATAAGGAAGACACTGCTCCCCATTTCCTGATGTTTCCCTCGGTCGCTACTTAAGACACCCACGGAATGATATGGGGTAGTGGTTATTTTTACGCCTCCATTTCACGGTTTTCATAACACTGGACTTTATTTTTGCAGCACAAATGGCGCAGTTCCCGGCGGGCTTCCAGGCAGGAGGCACGCTGCCCGGCTTTTCGCCGGCCGCGGCAGCAGCGGCTAACTTCTCCAACTTCCGCCCGCAGTACTCCGTGCCCGGACAGCCCACCTCTACCGGTTCCTCTAATGTTAGTAACGGAACACAAATACCCACCGCTGGGCCTAGCCCCACGCATAATAAAAAAACTATTGAGCAGAAGGTAAAAAACGAAATATTTTTATCAACTTTCAATGTTTATACTATAAAAAACGGTTAATGATTTCTTATATTTACGCGAACACTACACATTTAAATGAAACTAATTTTACGGATTTTATCGCGTATATTAACTTATTTTTCATTCCCGACGTTTCAAGCACTTTACAGCACCCATGGTCACGGGGGGGACTGAGGTGTATGACGTCCCAATGTCATAGTTAACCACGGCTACCTCCAGATTAAAAATTATTAATTTTTGTTCCGATCTACGCAGTATGAACTTACAGTATCATGAAGTCTTGCAGTTGTATGCTTGGGTTGGGATTTAATTTTATTTATTAATTATGGGAGACTGCAGACTTCCCAGACTTGTGAAGACGCTCTGGGAAGTCTGCAGTCTGTGAACATGTACAGGATCGCCCCCGTCACTACATTAGATTTGATAGACCACAAATCCTCGCTAAAGAACACCGATTCCTTCCAAGGATGATTCGCGAGGCTATTGAAATCAAAAAACATCCTAATTTCAATAGAGAAGATGGCTGGGTGCTACCATCTGCTTGGGATCCCATAATTAATAAAATTAAATCCCAACCCAAGCATACAACTGCAAGACTTCATGATACTGTAAGTTCATACTGCGTAGATCGGAACAAAAATTAATAATTTTTAATCTGGAGGTAGCCGTGGTTAACTATGACATTGGGACGTCATACACCTCAGTCCCCCCCGTGACCATGGGTGCTGTAAAGTGCTTGAAACGTCGGGAATGAAAAATAAGTTAATATACGCGATAAAATCCGTAAAATTAGTTTCATTTAAAAACGGTTAAATTTTTATCGACTCTAGTTAATTAAAGAATTAAGTTATCTGTTATATTATTATGCTCTGTCAAATTTAGTTTGATAATATTGACAGCTCACTGTAGGGATGGGATGGTGTATAATTGTTAATGAATCTATTCGATTATTATTCTCATAGAACTTTCAATCAATAGTTGCATGTTTGTTCTGTATGGATTTGCAATTTTGAACTTTCTTATCTATTGAATTAGTAATAAATTATTAATACGATAATAGAACCCCTTCTACAATAACGAATTCGCCTCGTGCATATTTTTATTTGGTCAGTCAGACTATTTAGTAGAATATGTGTGAGTCAACTAATTTTACGGTGAGATGACGGAGATGGTGCATGCTCTGATTTCAAGCCTATAAACGCTGGTGTTCCACAAGCTGTGTCTTCTACATATCAATAATATGTTGCTAACTGGTAGCATTCATTGCTATGCGGACGACAGAACTGGTGATGCCTTATATGCCGGCCGTGCCAATATTTCTCGGGAAAACGTCGCCGAGTACCGGGACAAACTTGTGTCTGAAGTAGAGTCTTTGCTTAACAAAGTCTCGGATTGGGGGCGACTAAATCTAGTCCAGTTCAATCCTCAGAAGACACAAGTTTGCGCGTTTACCGCTAAAAAGAACCCCTTTGTCGTATCTCCTCAGTTTCAAAGCACTCCCCTTGCTGCCTCAGGTAGTATTGGAATCCTTGGCGTCGACATATCGAATAGTGTGCAGTTTTGTGGTCACTTGGAAGGGAAGGCCAAATTGGCCTCTAAAAAGCTTGGCGTGCTCAGCAGAGCGAGACAGTATTTCATGTTGGCACATCACTTGCAACTTTACAAAGCGCAAGTTCGGCCCTACATGGAATACTGTTCTCATCTCTGGGCCGGGGCACCCCATTGCCAGCTCCTTCCACTTGACCGCATCCAGCGCAGAGCGGTTCGAATCGTCGACGACCGAGTTCTTTCTGATCGGCTCCATACACTGGCACTGCGTAGAGAATACGCAAAGAGATGCAACATCTCTTTAAATTAATGAGCCAATTCCAATACAAATTTACATGATTTTTATATATTTGATTTATTTCAAAACCGATTTTTGATAGTCTATGGTTGTTTGTTATGGCATGGCATAGTTTAGTGTGGCACATCATTATCGTAAGTGAGCGGTGCCCATCCATGAAGTACAACAATATCTGTATGACCATTTATCTAAAAAAGGACGAAACTTCATAGGCGTGAGTTGTCAAAATTATCAAGCTAAAGGAGAATGGGATGTTTGGGCCTGTAGTTAACTAATTGGTTTATACTTTAAAAAATTGGCTATATTTTTCTAGAGTTAAATACAAAAAACTAGCAATTTTTACAATCTAGATTTCGAAAAAACAATAAAATAAGAAATAAAATAGATTGTATCCGATGCAATCGATTTTATATTTATTTAGATCCAAAAAAAATAATTAAAAAGCTTCCATCCAAGGTCTCATTAAAATTCTATTATTTTCTTTGAATGATATATTTATTTGGAAATAAAATATATTATTCCCATAAAGAAGAAAGAAGTAAACATTTTATGGCAATAAATCGAGTACCACAAAGAATACACTATTGAAATTCTCGTTTCTGAACGCTACCTACCACTAGTACTCCTTATTAGTTTGTGTTACATACCTATAAAGGACTTCTTCTTCTTTTAAATTATCTTCTCATTTTGAAACTTGACAATTCAAAGTTCAAAACTATTCACTTAAAAGAAAGACTGATTTTCGATTTGATTTGAAATGAGCACTCGATTCTTGATTAAGTTCACCACTTTAATATCTATTTTTGATTTATTTCTCTGTTGTTAACCAGGGAGATAAAGAAATATTGTGAACATTATCTACAAAACAATAATAAAAACACAAACATACCAACAAATAACAGTAACAACAACAATTCAAGTAATCAATCTCAGATCAATATGCCTAATATTCACTTCAATTAGTTGTTGTAGTTTTAACTTTCGTTAATCGTTTCACCATTTTATTTCCTAAAATAATCACAGATATTCTTTAGTGATTTTATACTGATCCTGCTTTTAAATTTTTTAAGTACCTAATTATAGTGAAAAATAGGTAAAAGTAGGTAATACATAAAATCACTTTTATTTATTCTACAATAACTCAGTTCCTAGATTGACAAATCTTGCCAGATTTTCAGCAATGAATTGTTTATATATAAGCTTTCAAATGGACTTTCATCTTGTTAACATCTGGGCCCAAGCATGTATGGAGTGGAGAAGTCTTCTTCTCCTTTGACAGAGTAGTGTGCGACTAAGCGTGCTGACGTCATATAGTGTGTTTTGTACAGTAAAAAAATTGTACCCAAAAATAATAGAATCTTTTTTTAACTATGCAAACTCGTGCTCGACTATTATTCTACCTGATGGTAAGTGGTGATGCATCCGAAGATGGGTAAAGCGGACTGGCTTGTGATATTTGATTTTATTTATGATATTATAGAACTACTTTCAATAAAGCGCGTCGTTACTTTACTTACAAAACTAAAATGGGTAAAAAAGGCATGATTCACGGTAAATATAGGCGCTCGCAGGGTAAATTAAAGGGAAGCGGGTGGAGTAAGATTTCACGCCAGTCTCAAGATAACGCGACGTGTAGTACACTAAATCGAAAGCGTAATTATATTAGAGTCGTGTGATGGCATAAGACATCCTATTCTATTCAGTGGCGTAAGAGGCGACTATGGAAAGTGACAGTAACCATTTAGTGTAGTTATTGTTTACACCAGACGTAAAAAATTCAGATCGGCGACAGTGCCGAAGGTGTAAAACGTCTGGTGATGTAATCGCCAACTACCGGCCAAGCAATGCCATTAAGGCAGTTGCTCCCTACAATGGGAGAGAGCTATCATTTAGTGAATTATTAAGGATAGATTTAAGGGCATAATTAGTAGTTATGTATTCTGGAAGTAGCTGTAACATCATAATCACCCGTTGAACCCAAATTATAATGACAAAGTGTCGGATATTTACAAGTAGTCATGTTGTGAAATTTCACATGTTGATCATGAATTGTCCAGACTAAGATTTTAATATTAGATTATTCATAAATGTTTAAACGGTATTGCTGGTCAAATATTAATTGTATAGGTGTTTTCAGTAAACAGACTTGTTTTGCTTGCAATTTAGTATAGTCATAGTAATATTGTAAACACCTATTATGGAAGTCAGTATCGCATAATTAGTCTTAGTACTTAATAAGTTCATTATTGTAATGTGAAATAGTAACAAATATCATTGAGACATTTCGAAAACTTTTAGCACCACATCCGGAACTTAACTAAGTACACCTAGTCTAAATATGAAATGATACTCTCAATTTGTTTATGATATTGTGGAAAAAAAGTTGAAATTCAATTACAATAATATTAATATTTCTTTTGCAGAAATCATAAGCCTGCGTAACTTATTATACATTGTAATTCAATTTGATGCACCTTCCAGGTAAAGTATAATTTGATCTTTTATATTATATTGCCTTATTTCTTTTTACAACATGTGTATATATTATTTTTTCTTTTGCAGAAGGTGAATGAAACAGTCGCATAGATGAATATTTAGATTTAAGCTTTCCAAGATTCCTGTTCCACCTTGGGTTTGAAGTGATAATTAGTGATTAGTGCAGTTATGTTAGGTAACATAAATATGTCATATAAAACAGACTCTCACAATATTATTTATTTCATCCTGATCTGTATGAATCTTGTTTATTGCTAAGTGATTGTGGACTTATGAAATCTTTATTTTTAATTTACCAAAAATGAAAATTGAATAAATCATTTAATTAAGTGAAATTGCATTTTAATTCCTTTTAAACGTTATATATGTACGTCATTTACTTAGTATATAAATAATACAATAAAACTTCTTTGTTTAAAAAAATAGTTTAATTTCTTATGTAATCATTGAATTTTTGACAATAACAATAAAATAAATATTACGAAAATATCACCATGTATATGTATCATCCTCTGTGTTGTACTTCACACTGTCCAATGACTTCACCATGCTGGGGTCTGGTGAACAAAATAGTTGTAGCAAGTCTTCACTGATTCCACAATCAGACAAATTTTCTTTGTTGAAAGCTTTGGTAAACTGATTAGGTTCATTTTCTTTCGAGGACTCGTCTGTAAGCAAAATCATGTAAATATTAAAAGTCTTGCTGACAACAACAGCAAGCGATCCAATATGGGGCTACGTGGAGCTACTGCTTCATATAACGCACCTGTGCACTCAATGTACAAAGCAAAGCTATTGTGTCAGCTTTAGAGCTCTGATATAGCATCGTATGATTTATTTTTATTCAAAAAAAATCTGCAAGAGATAGACTTTAGCAGCGTTCAAACACGCTGTAGAAGCGGTGTCTGAGGTAGACTAGAAAGTGTTTCAAGAATTGTTTCGGACACATGAAAACTGTAGTGGAGTTTTTTGAAAAGAACTAACAATATTTTTTTACTGAGGTGACAAACGAACTTACAGTCCACGTGATGCAGTCCATGGATAACTGTGGCCAACTTCAAACAAAGAATTTAATTAGTCTACTCAGGTAGATTCCAATATTTAGGCAGAAAAGGACTTTTCGGTCTGGAGAATATTATTATCATATTCGTTTTATTAGGTTTTCATAGGTATCATGTGACTCGGGACCGAGCTTTATGGCATTTCTTGGGGGAGGCCTATGGTCAGCAGTGGACTTGTTAAGGGTTGTAATGATGGTGATTGAATTTTTAGTTTTAGTTTTGCTAAAGTGCGAGTGGCCCACGTATAAGATAGAGAGCATAAGAGCTAACCTCTCGCGATAGCGTGCGCGGCCCAGGAGAAGGCGAGCGTGGGCTGCAGGTGCGCGAACGTGGCGCTGTAGTGCGCGCGCGCGCTGCGCCGCAGCAGCGCGAACAGCGCCGGCACCGCCGTCGGCAGCACCGGTCCGCGCAGCTCCATCGAGTAGTACTTCTTGCCCTCCACGTGCACACTGTTCTCACGGAACTGCAACCGCACCGCCAACAACAATATACCACGAAATCACCTTATTCTGACGTCAATACACGTGTTCCGCCGTGTAGTGGCGGCGTATGAAAAATTGGAGAAGGGCACTAGCATCTTCATGATAAGAACGCAATAATAGTAAAAATTGTGGTTGTCAACCCATCTGGCCAAGCATAGCGATTATGGCAAATATTGCTCTTAGTGGACTTTTGGCAAATTCTCCCTAAAAATGGGGAGGCACATATAATGGACTTAAATACGAAGTGATTAAGATGAAGTAAGTTTTTCCGTTCCGTAAGTTTTAACGTTCGTTCGGGAAATTACGGCACATCTTCTCGTCAGGTATACCTCAAAACTTGAAAACGAGACTGTACAACCAGTGCGTGTTGCCAGTGATGACATATGGAACTGAGACATGGTCCTTCACTGCTGGCCGGATGAGGAACCTCAAGGTCGCTCAGCGAGCTATGGAGAGGGCTATGCTCGGAGTTTCTCTTTGTGATAAACTTAGAAATAAGGATATCTGCAATAAAACTAGAGTGACCGACATAGCCCAACGGATAAGTAAGCTGAAGTGGCAATGGGACGGCCATATAGCTCGAAGAACCAACAACCGATGGGGAAAAAAGGTTCTCGAGTGGGAGCCTCGTACCAAGTGTAGGGCGTCCCCCCACTAGATGGAGTGACGACCTGGTAAGATATGCAGGAAGTCGATGGATGCAGGTGGCTCAGGACCGTGCTTTGTGGCATTCCTTGGGGGAGGCATATGTTCAGCAGTGGACTTGTGAAGGGCTGTAATGATGATGATGATGATGAAGTTTTGTAGTCAATAATATAAAATGGAACATAATGTGTTTAACCGATTCGTTGCGGCACCGATTTTCAACAACTTTTAGCTGTGGCGGCGAACAAATATTTCCACAGACTTTGATGACACGCTTATTGTGCCATCAGCTATGTGTAAAAGTAATGTTCTTTTTATGCTTTTTTTACTTGTTTAGACCTAATTAAGTTTATTTGACATCAAACATCAGTTACAAACGGAAGGATACATGTTTTTAGTGGGTAACTACGTGTTTTCCTGTGTTTTCTTTGAGATTAGAGTGATTTTTTTTATGCAGAGATTACAAACCTTTTGTACTATTTTTTTGTTTTATGAAAGAATCATTTATATAAGTGCAGTCTGGGCCAACTTTAAAGATAGGATAGTTTTTATCCCGATAAGTGACCCTCAATATTTTTTTATTACGAATTTAAGGATTTTTTTATATAAAGGATCGTCGAAAAGGGTAGAACAACGTCTGCCTGGTCAGCTAGTAGTTATATAAATTAGTAAAGTTAAACTCAAACGATGGCCATGCTTACGTTTCCCTCATATTTTTTTTTATAAAACTGTTAATTACAATACGAATACACTATATGTAACTCAATTTAACAATCGAAAACTGAAAACATCTATAAAAAGAAAGTGTCACGAAAATATTTGGTAGTGCAAAACACATGTAAATGTATTTTTTCTTGTAGTAGTAAAAATGATCTTATTTCATAAATGCTTTTACCTTATAATAAAAAATAAATGATAATGAATATTATTATAAGTATCCAAAATTATTTTATTCCCAATTTCGTGACAACACCTAAAATATTTGCGACAACGGCGTAAATAGTTATAGCGTTAGTTCTTTAAACAGTGGTAGAACTAACCTTCAACGACTGAAGCGTGCCTCCGTGGAAGGCAGTGGGCGAGAGCAGCGTGGGCGGGACGCCGGCGAAGGGGCCGGTGTCGCTGACGATGGACTTGCAGTTGAGCAGGAAGTTGAAGAGCGCCTGCGCCTCCGCGCCGCGCACCAGCACCAGCGACTGCGCCGCGCTGTCCACGCTGCTCTCCGCCGCCGCGCTCGCGCGCGCCTGCACAAACAAACTGATTGTCCTACGCCTCCATAGCCTTAAGTCCACTTGCTGGTGTCTGCTAAAACTAACGGTTGTAACTCGCACACATTTTATCGCAGTTATATTAATTGTATAGTTATAACACGAATGGGTCGGCTCGACCGGGGGAAGGACCACGCTCTCACAAAATACCAACGTAAAATAGCAGCTTAATGCTGCTATGTTTCTTATGGTGAGTGTAGAGACCCGGAGACCCTTTTTACTGGAAGAGGCATTCCATCTTAGTCCTCACGGCTACGCATTTGCATTTAGATTCGCAAATAGGATAGATGTAGATGTCTATGGGCCACATCCACCACTTACGATCAAGTGGACTGTGCTCGCTTGTCACCCTTATCCTAAAAAAAAACATGACTGAGCTTTTGACATTTGATAAAAATCTGGCGCTCTAAACGTTTTGTTTAGCCGTATCCATCTGCCGACTCCGCAGACAGTACAGCTATGGTTTATTTGTTCGAACGATCGTGCGTACAGTCTAACAAGTAATCAACCGCAACTTTTGACTGTGTTCGAGGCAGTGGCGATAATTTCATACAAGCCCAAAAAGCCCGGCATGTTTTATTAGACAATTACGCCAGTCCGTTAAGGTGAACAGGACCTGGACGGACGTGTTAGATTGATTGCCAAAGCCATTTGTTTGGGTTTTTTATCCGACGGTCTCAAAACAGTAATATTTTTAAATGCATAAATGCGAGGTTTCAAATCTTTATTATACGATCCTGGATAGGGCTTTGCCCGGAGTTTCTCTGCGTGATAAAATACATTACAATAATATCCGTAGAAATCCAGATAACCAATATGCAGCCATGTACTGACAAGCTGAGTGAAGTCAATGGATGCAAGCAGCTCAATACTATGGTGTATGAAAAAAACTACTGTGGGCTGTAATGACTAAAAGTGGTACAGTAATGATTTGAATACGGAACCAAATTCCTTCTTACAATTGTCTCAGCCAAAAATTTACAATTTCACCTGTCCCTGCTTTGAATAACTCCATTTTTATTTATAAATTTAGCCTAATTCTTACGACAAAATATCCGGTTCTATATCCGGTATATCTGTTACCTCGTATAAATTTAGCCTAATTCTTACGACAAAATATCCGGTTCTATATCCGGTATATCTGTTACAGTATTTTAAATGCTTATAACTGAATCCTGTTAATTGACAACATAACACACCATAAAAATAATTTTGATGCTCTTTAAAAATACTTTTATTTACGTATTATGTAAGATTTTATAATTACGCATTCTGTAAACCCTAGAATATATAATTAACCAGTAAATTATGTAGCTTAAAAATTATTTGTCGAGATTTATATTCCACACGGACAATATCGAAAACAATTCTCGCAATTACGTATCCAGTTCTGTTTTGCAAAAAAAATATACCTGTGCATTGTTGATCTTTCTAAGATCTTCGGTCTCTAAGCCAAGTTGTGAAAGAAACTGGTCTGGATCTTCTTCGTCTGCTGAGTCTTGGTCCTTCTCCTGGGCATTTTGCATGGGCTTGGAGTCATCCATTGTGTCATAGCAGCTGTCAAATGATGAACTCTTGGGACGCTCTTCCTCCGAATTATTTAACCTTTTCTTGTGATCCGGTCGAAGTGGCATTGTAAATTCGATATCTGGAATAAAAATTATTAGTTTTAGTGAACACTCTGTATTTCATTCGTGCGACTGCCTTGTTAATCTAGTCACTCACGACTACTGATAATGTGGGTTTAAATCTCAGGTTGGGCCGTTTATATTATACATTTATATATTAATATAGACAGTTATTGGATTTTTGTCAAAAAGTTCTCAGTAGCAGTTAGCTCGTCAGGAAAATGACGATGTTCTAGAAGTTGATAATGCGCCTGTTCTCTCTTTTTTTATAGGATAAGGGTGACAAGCGAGCATACAGTCCACCTGATGGTAAGTGGTAGCTGTGGCCCATAGACACCTATCCTCGTTTGCGAAGCATAATGCAGATGCGTTGTCAGCCGTTGAGGACTAAGATGGAAAGCCTCTTTTCCAGTAAAAAGGGTCTCAGATCGTGTTGAATTACCGTCCCATCGGACTATGAGAGTGAGCGGAACAGTGTGCATCACCGCGCATACACTCGTGCGCTATAATCTTGTCCTTCGCAGATGGCTACTGTACGTTGAGCTGCCACCGTGATTAAAACGGAAATTCAGTCTGCATGACATTACATTATACTGTTTCAAATGTTATGTGATGTTTGATGTAATTTATCTAGGTGGGATTTCTGCCTAGGTCCGTTGGAGAATGTACAGCTAGGGAAGCTCTACCCATATTAATATCAACATTTTTAAAAGCTTCCTTAGGCTGAACCATCTTCAAATAAGAATGGTCACCAGTGCCATAAAAGGATTATCACAGACAACTGTTTGTGCAGAGCCTGCACCAGGCATGAGGAAACAATATTTTTTCATATTGCATATTATTTGGAAGCTTAACCAAATAAAACCTTATATCGCGGAGATCCCGAGATTCAGTCCATATTGCCCTCTTCCTAAATTCGGCCCCAACAAGCACTGTAATAAGGCAAGTTTTCAGATTTACTTTTATAACTTTAAGATTGACATTGACTCACCTTCCTGTCGGAGAGTTTGTCGAAATCCACGTGTAGTGGGCGAGATAAGAGCGCAGGGTTCTGATATACCGCAGAGTCCAGCCGCGCGAAATAAACACGTGAACGTGTTCGCGCACACGTAGAAATACGGGCAGTGTAGGGCACGCAACAGCTGATGAAAATTGAGTTTTAAAAATATAAGGAAACGAAAAGTCAGTTTTAAATTCTTAACCCTAACTTAATAAAAATCCACTGCGAGAAATCATTCACCTGAAACAATGAGCGAAAGCTCTCCGTCCACTCCCTATGCAGTGCGTCCTTGAGTTCCGGGTTGGTGGCAATGAAACTAGTGGCAGCAACGCGGCCTGACGATCGCGGGAACAACTGCAGCCAGGGCAGCTGCGGGTGTTGCCAGTACAGGCACGTCTGGTGGAACCGCGCCCGTGGAGACGTGTCCAGCGTCGGCGAGGACGTAGTATCCAGGCAGCGGACGAACCTGACCAAGAGGGAACACATTTGTTTATCTCTTTGGTTATGGACTTGTGCTATTAAAGGGAGTTTTCTAGGTGGTATGACTTCTTTTATGCTAAGGAGTCCCTCTGTTTAGAGTCCCCGTAAGTATTACCATCTTACCCATTTCTGTTGCCGAAAATTAAGGCATGCACTGCTGTTTTTCAATCTGAAGGGCCAGTATAATTACAGATTGTTAAATATTCCACTTTGGTCCTCAGAGATGACAATGTATCTCCAGCTTTCTTTTTTGATGTTGGCTGCCAGTGTCCATGGACTGCAGTAGCCACTTACCATCAGGTGGACTGTAAGTGTTACGGCCTACGGCTGCTCCCTTAAAGGGTCAAATCCTCAGGAGCCCATGAGCTGAAGACTTCCCGAGCAGACGTAGGTCGGGCTTCAATGTGGCCACGTGGAATCTCTCGAATTACACTACAATATATGGGGGAGCGTTCTATACTACGGCCAGTCGACCGGCAGAGGAATTAGGCGGAGCTTACTTACCTATATCCAAGGCGACTGGTCCCTCCGGAGTCGGTCAGGTCACATGTGGTTGTGTAGTGAAAGGGAAATAAGTGATGTGATGTGTATCTGGGTGTGACTGATGGTGATTGAACCTAGACCTTGGCCTTCGGCAGCAGCCCGAGCGTCGACACCGCTCCATCTTGAGGGGGCCTTCCGAGGTTGTCCACAGTCACTTTCTTCTTTCGTCATGATGACAGTCAATTAACTCTATCGTACGATTAACGGTTAACGCACAAAACGCACACGGAGTTTACGGACCAAAGGTCACGACCGTTTCGCGTAGCAACAGTTAGTTCTAGAATATCAGAAGCCGCACTAGCTAATATTGTCGAATGCACTTATACAGATTCTGAGTCGGACCCAATAAGGCTATCCAAACAGGGAATGCGCGTTATAATTCCTAGACAGGATATTTACTAGACGCCCTAACTATTCCGCGGTTCCCGCACAAAATTAACAGCGTGCAGACATTAGCACAGCTGGCAGACGACTCACTGCCCTTGGGCGTTTTACGCACGACCGAATGTCAAACCGGTATGACACTGAGCCGCGCGCCCTCTCGCGTTCGTTCTTGAAATTAGAGTTTAGCGCGAACAAACCCCCGTCCCGGACATAAGGATTTAGGTCCGCGAGCAAACCGGGCAGCGGGACAAGGTCGCGACGGCAAGTTGCAAGACCGAATCTACAACCAAACTAGGCCACCTTAGGCAACCCATCAGATCTTGCAACCCTAACCAACGCCTCAAAAGATAGCCCTAATGTGGCAAGCCGGAGGGTCAGCCTCCACTGGATGCCCCTCCTGGGCATCGCAGCACTTTAATAAGTCCTGTACTGGACAGAAGTCCGACGACCTCTTTCAAACACCTATCTGTGCCCCTATGATTAGTTCCGCAATCCGACCGGATCAGCTCTGCAAACAGCGACGCTACACGAAGCTGCCCAGACAAATTTTGTGCCAGCAGTTGCTTCAGTGCAGAGCACACCCACAAATTCCACATGAACGTCGTCTGTGGAGAGCCGAACGAAACGCACAGATAGTCCCTAGTATGAATTTTCAACAAGTAGGCCTAGCCAGGCCACCCACCATATTATCATTTACTAAAATAGTGCGGCAGCTGATTTCAATCTGATAATCTCCAAAACTAGCTAGCCTGTTAGACAAGTAGTCCTATGCTCATATTTCAACTAATTTTTCAAAAGCATCAATGTTCAACTACAGAATTAATTCAACCAAATTAATCACCGATGCGCATAGGACAACTTGCAAATTAAACAAAACAATAACGTAAGGGACAGCCCTACTTCTTCGCAAAGCAAAATGATTAAACACTATCATAAACATATACATAATTTTTCAAATAGCGCGCCATTTAATTTCAAATGAATTCAAATTTTCCTTTCAGCAAACAGACGCAACAATCAAATACAGTGATTAAATATATTTCCAAAACACATGCAGTAGAATTTAAAGGAGTACATTAAATTCAATTCTTTTAATTTAAACCGCTACAGATAGGAAAATGTGGACTGTTGACGGCTTAAGGCTCAGTGGATGCGTCCGTGGTGGGAGCTAAGGCGGCAGCTAGCCAGGGCCGCCTCCATCAAATGGGGAACAGTGGTACACCAGTCGCGGCCACTCAGCTAACGGGAGTGAGAAGGGTCCAGCGGACCGATGAGTGGCCGTGAAGTTCCTCTCCACACGGTGAGGGGGGGCGATGACACCCCCGCCCCTGGGGGAATTACCCCCCGACTGGTCGGGGGAGGGACCCCTTCCAAACTTAGGGGCCTGGTGGCTGGCCGGCGGGCGTCGATTCACGCCCGGCAGAGGGCGTGGCTGAGCGCCCCCGCCGTGGGGGTCGAGGGCCTGGCAGAGCCCCGAGAGGAGACGCCGTTCGCACCCAGGCACAAAACTGCATGGTGATTGCCCTGGCAATGCAGACAGGGCCGTTGATGCGGACAGTCTCGATGGAGGTGCCCTCCCAGACATGAACAGCACCAGCGGCGCTCCTTGGCGATAGTTCGCCTCGCCGAAACCGGCTTACCTAATAATTTCGGGCACGACGTTACCCGATGATCAGACGCTCGACAATAGGAGCAGGGGAGGGTTGACGACGACTTGCCTGGAGGATTCAGCCTCTCACTGGGCACGGCTCGTAAGTCGTCAACGGTGCCCGCCGCGTTCTCTATCTGCCGGCACTGCTCCTCCAAAAACCGCAGCAGGTCATAGAAGGGCGGAATATAGGAGGCATCGTCCCCGCCGTACCTCTCCTCAAAATGGATTCGAAGGTCGAGAGGTAGACGGGACAGCATAATGGGGAGCAACAAAAAAGCCCATTCGCCCACTGGTAAATCCAGCCGCCTCAACGTATTACAGGCCACCAAGACTGGATCCAACAGGTCCGGACGTAGTCTGGCCCGGTCACTAAGCAGCGGGAGGCTTAGAAGCTGCTTAACATGTTCGTCCGCAATTCGCCGGACGTTGGCGTATCTTCTGGCTAGGAGGTCCCGAGCAGTCTGGTAGGCGTCGTCCGACAATCTCAAGTGGCCGACGACGCCCAGGGCCTCCCCCTCCAGTGAGGCCAGGAGGTACGCCATCTTTTGGCTCGGGGTCAAGTCACTCCGGGCGTCCACTAGGCTGTCGAAAAGACCAACGAAGGTCAGCCCTTCGGAAAGGACCCCGGAGAACTTTGGCAGGTCCAGAGTTGGGAGTCGTCCCAACAGCTCCGGCTGAAGCTGCTTCAGGGAGGACTCGGACAGGTCACTCATCCGAGCTTCACGCGCCTCCTCGGCATACCTGCCTTCAGCCTCGATCAACTCGTCCGTGAGCCACAAGAACTGCTCATAGTCCGCGAAGCAGGAGTCCAGGACTCCCTTCTCCACATCCGAATCCTCGAGCTCAGCGTAAGCCTCCTCCACTGCGGCCCTTCGAGCATCCACCTGCTCGAACCGCTTCATCAAGTTATGGACCCTATCCGGTCGACCTATCAAAGCATGGGCGCTTGTGGCCCAGCGTAGATCAGTAGCTTGGGCGATGTCATCACTATTAAATGCAAATTACGACGCGGCTTGAGCACAGATTACAAAGATAACAAACAAAACATACAACAAAAATTAACAGTTAATAAATGCAGTTCCTATCAAATCGCGTTGAATAGAAATTACACAAATACGAATTGCTACGTATCAACCAAATACAAGTTAGCACAAAAGAAAAGACACAAATCAAATTAACAAATAACAAATACTAGTGCGATCAAATCAAGTTAAATTCAAATTGCGCAAATACAATTACTACTCTTTAGTTCAAATACAATTACAGTATAAACGAAGATACACATCACGGTCGATCAACAAAAAATGCCTAGCTCGGAAATCGACCCTTCGATAAGTAATCCACTACAACTATCCGACAACGATAATTAACCGATTACGTAAAAATAACCATCTACCTACATGACGTATATCTCTAGAAAAACTCCCGCTTGCGCAACCTAGGGCGCGGCTTTTCAAACTACCTACTAACCAAAAAAAAAGGCAAGCAACAAACAACAAAGGGAAATAATTTTATTATTACGTACAAAAAAATATTTTTACGTATTACGGACGGGCGTGATTGTAGATACAAATTAAACCAATCAAACCAACGCTCCCTGCCACCAGAATTGTTTAATTTTTATCAAACACTATGGTCGGGATCGACCGGGGAATCGAACCCGGAACCGCGCTCTGCTACCAGTTTGTACACGCCCCTAGCTGCCCCAACCAAGGCTGACGGGATTAGGGCCCATGAGTAATCCCATCGACGAGCAGCAGAGGGGCGGGGCCAGAATATGGCCACGTGGAAATTCCTAATTACACTAAACAATATGGGAGGACGCTAGAAACACATAGTACTTACCATTATCCGAAGCTAACTTCGCACTAAGGCTTGGGCAGGCCGTGAGTGTGTGTAATAGTGGATGGCGAGTAGTGTACAGTGAGGTGTGAATGTTTGGGGCCTTGTCAAGCATAGGCGACCAGCTGCGGACGAGTTCCAGGCTGCTCCAAAATGCTGCACCGCTTCAGACTGCTTCGGCGCCGGATCACAATCACTTTCTTCTTTCGTCACGATGACAGTCAATTAACTCTATCGTACGATTAACTAACTTACAGAAGCCACTAACTATCGCTGGGTATAAGGTTAACGCACAAAACGCACACGGAGTTTACGGACCAAGGTCACGACCGTTTCGCGTAGCAACAGTTAGTTCTAGAATATCAGAAGCCGCACTAGCTAATATTGTCGAATGCACTTATACAGATTCTGAGTCGGACCCAATAAGGCCCGGGAAAGGCTATCCAAACAGGGAATGCGCGTTATAATTCCTAGACAGGATATTTACTAGACGCCCTAACTATTCCGCGGTTCCCGCACAAAATTAACAGCGTGCAGACATTAGCACAGCTGGCAGACGACTCACTGCCCTTGGGCGTTTTACGCACGACCGAATGTCAAACCGGTATGACACTGAGCCGCGCGCCCTCTCGCGTTCGTTCTTGAAATTAGAGTTTAGCGCGAACTGTAAGTTTGCTTGTTATTTCATTTTTATAAAAACGATGGTACAGGACTGGTGTATGTACTCATATAGTACACCTTGGTAGAGCCATGCTGCAGTTGTATTAGTAGTATAGTTGTAGTACAAATGGGTCGGCTCGACCAGGGAAGGACCACGTTCTCACAGAATACTAGTTTAACACTGCTGTGTTTCGTATGGTGAGTGCAGAGAACCGCAGGCCCTTTTTACTGGAAAAGAGGCATTCCATCTTAGTCGTCACGGGTGACAACGCATCTGCATATTGGTTCTTTATTGAGGATAGATGTAGATGTCTATGGGTCACAGCAACCACTTACCATCATGTGGACGGTGTGCTCGTTTGTCACTCCATCCCATAAAAAAAAACCTTGTGTATCATTTATGAAATGCTAATGACTACGCTAGTCAAAAATGAATTTGATTCATGTTTTGTTGTTCTGATAAATTTTAGATTATGGTAAGATTGAATCGCTTTATAGACCTTAAATTATATCAACTAACCCAGTGATACCTGATGCTTCTTCACTAGCTTTTAGCTTTGATGTCCATGCAAATGGTTTTGTTGACATTAATCTTAACTTAGTCTTTAGGGCCCAATCTATTGTTAGATGTTTGTATTTTGCTTCAACAGGTTTCTGGAAGGAGATCACTTATATATACATTGAAGTTACTCTCAAAATTATTTAATTAAATGAGTAATGTTTGGTAAGAACTCTTTATAAAAAATCATGGAACATAGTAAGCAGTTAAAAGTTAATACAAGATAACACTAAAAAATGCAAATTAATGGCAACACTGCCTATCAAGGTGTGACACAGGGCAGTCTCACCACAAATTAACATTCATTACTTGTATTATCCAGATTACAAGCCAAGACAACAACTGCCTGCGCTATACATACTTATATTATACACTTTGTTGTATTTTTTTATTTTCTACTTTCATTCATAACAGGAAATTTTTGTCAGTAAACTTTTTAAATATATCTTTACGAAAGTGGTTAAAATACATTAATCAATAAAATACATACTGTTTCTACTGAGTGGTCAGCAGTAAATTTCTGTAAAAGATTGGAGAATGTTGAAAGTTTCTCTGTGTTTACTTCTGTAGGTGGCTTCTCAACTACTTTGGCAGGCAACTTCAGAAGGGCAAACAAAGTTTTGTCATTTGATTCGTCTAATTGCACATCTGATGCCAATTTGAGTTTCTTATTTTGTTCTGCATTGTCTCTGTAAAAATTTGTTTTAATTATGAGATGCATTATAAAATCAATGTAACCAATATTAATTTTTAATTATTTATTTAAACTCTATTTAAAATGTCTGTCATCATCATTACAGTCCTTCACAGGTGCATTGCTGAGACCTAAAGGATTGCCACAAAGCACTGTCCTGAGACTCCAGCATCCATCAACTTCCTGTATCTTTTCATTCCATCTGTAATACTTGTTAGTAAATTTTAAAAGTTTTAACAAGTTGGCTGTATAAACATTAAGCTGGTATGATTTAAAGTTACAACCTACGTCCCATTGCTCGGCACAGGCCTCACCTCATTTCTGAGACGGTTTTAGGGCAAGGAAATATCCACCGCACTGTCCCAATGCGTGTTGTCGAACTTCACATGTCTTCGAAATATTTTTTTTCTTATTTCTCAGACATGCAGGTTAGCTCACGATGTTTCCTTCACCACCGAAAACGTGGTAAATCAGCACTTAAAATTGCAATTAACGGGGATTGGACCCGGGTTGCTCGCATACTGTGAAATTTACAGCGAGCGCTAACCATCTGAGCTACCACGATTCAGATGGTTAGCGCGAATAATAATAAAACATACAAAAATTAAATCTAGTTTAGCATAGCTATATTCTACCTTCCATCTGGAAACAGAATCTAGCCTGTTTTTAAATTTTATTACCATGAATACTGATTTATGACTATTGTTTATCAAACCATAAGATATTTCCTAGCCCTCCTCCTTCTAATACATGGATATCAGCATACCTGAGAATATTTACAGTACAGTCGACTCAATAATTTGACACTTGTTAATTTGAGCCTCTCAATAATTTGAAAATTTTTCCCGGTCCCTTGAAAAATACTCGATAAATTGAATAAAATCAATATTAATTGGTCCCCTCTGTAATTTTAAGTTGAAGAAATAGTATCTTGCCCGCCAACATGCAATAATTTGAAGTCTGGGCTTCCCTACTCTGGATAATTTGAAGCGTTTTTTATGCACAGACCTTTGTTTGTTTACATACATTTTTCAGACCTGTCGATTGTTTACATAAATGAGAGAGACTTCTATTTAAAATGAACATTTGTGAATAATAGTACAAATGTTTAAAATAATAAATCACGAATCAAGTAATAAGAAAATTACTTAATTTTATCCTCCTTCCCTCTTGGTTATCTGAACTCCTGTTATTTTGAACTCATGGTAAGTTGAAATTTTTCTCTGGTTGAATTTCATATTATCGAGAACCTTCCTGCAATTACATCCTTATACAGAAATTGCTTAATTTTTAAATTAAGCCACTGATCTATGGTTAAACGAATTGGGTGAAGTTAAGCTAACCATTTTACAGCACATTCTAATTTATAATCATCCAAAGAGAGCAATAGCCCAACTAACCACATACATTATTTTGATTATTATAGTAAAGTAATGTAAGGCTGTAACATCTCTATGTCCACGTGCTGGGCACAGGGCTCTTCATATTTTTAGAGTTCCATACCCAAAGGGTAACCAACGAGACCCTACTAAGCCTCCACTGTCCGTCCGTCTGTCTGTCACTGGGCTGTATCTCATGATGTGTAATAAGTAGACAGTTGAAATTTTCACAGAATGTGTAATTCTGTTGCCGCTATGACAACAATTAATAAAAATAAAAGGGGAAAAAATTATAAGGGGCTCCCCTAAAAGGTTACCAACTTTGAAAATGGATTTTTTCTCTTATCACCATTAAGGATTCTTGAAAAATCTAAGTCTACTATCTTTGGGGCACTGGTTTCATTGCTTGTTGAACACAATGGTTGTTTCATGCGATCCTGTAACAAAAAAAAATTATAATTAAATAACAAAATCTCAATTGCAGTAACCTGTTATTACATAATAAAATTTAATATAATGGAGCAGAATGTGTTTAAGGCAAGCAGTTTTTCCACAAAGCTATACTGTGATCATAACCATGATGTAAATCAATTATTTATATATATTCAGTTTCATTTAAGAAAAACTGGCGAATTAATGGGTGCATTTTTTTTTTTATAGGAATAGGGTGACAAACGAGCACACAGTCCACCTGATGGTAAGTAGTTGCTGTGACCCATAGACATCTACATTTATCCTCGTTTGCGAATCAAAATGCAGATGCGTTGTCACCCATGAGGACTAAGTTGGAATGCCTCTTTTCCAGTAAAAAGGGTCTCCGGTTCTCTACACTCACCATACGAAACACAGCAGTGTTAAACTGCTATTTTACGCTGGTATTCTGTGAGAGCGTGGTCCTTCCCCGGTCGAGCCGACTCTTTCGTGCTTCAACTATACTACTGAAATAGCTGCAGCATGGCTCTACCACGTTGAAAATAATTTTATATAACATTACGAAATTGTAGAGTTCTTACACTACAAACAAAAAAGGCAAAACCTTGTCCATATCATGACAGTTCTTTGTAGTTATTAGAATTTACTTACCGTGGTAAATAAATAGAAAAATACATTAAATTTTAAATTACCTGCAACGCTTTTTTTCTTCTTTTCAATTTGTGAAGTTGCATTACTTCGTTTGGCGTTTTCCATGGTGATGTTGGTTCCATTATGTAAATATATTGAAAATGTAAAGTAAATAAGTCAGTAAACGCTTATTCGATAAACCTATAATAAACTATTTATAGTTTTCTAATACATTTTATACAGTTTTTAATTTTACCACGCATAGTAAAATGTAAATTGTAAACAATCCGATTAGAGTCGACCCACAGACTAGATTTTCAGTATATATAAAAGTACTCTGTGGACTAGATAGAGAAACTGACGTTTGACGAGTCGACCACACACGATACAGGAACAGGACAGCTGTATGTTAGTGTTGTACCGTAGTACGTTACATTTATTAATTTAGTGATGTGTCAACTCGAGTAATACTCGAAAAGGGTGGTTAAGTTATAAGATACATTACATTTTAAATTAACGCCAAATGTAACACTTAACTTACAATAAATATTTTGAATTTGTAAAAGTTTGAATTTATTTAATAATATTTTGACTGTGATAATTAAACTATTAATAGCTTATGTACCTACATCTTAAAGCTAGATATATTGTTTCGTGAAGACTGCTATATAGCTAGTTTTGTTACTAAATACAGGTACTTACTTTAACTATATAATACTAGCTGACCAGGCAGACGTTGTTCTACCCTTTTCGACGACCCTTAATATAAAAAAAAAAATCCTTAAATTCGTAATAAAAATAACATTGAGTGTCACTTATCGGGATAAAAACTATCCTATCTCTCAAGTTGGACCGAACAGTAGTTCAGTAGTTTAAGAGTAGATCGCGGACAAACAACGTGACACGTAATTTTTATATATAAAGATTAAAACCAAAAATACATAAGCATGTGATACATACTAAATACACCTTTTTATTTCAATCCTATATAATAAGTTTGGTAATTATAGTTATCCCAACCCACCAAAGAGATAGAAAAACAAATTTATAAAAAAGTTATTTGTAACACATCATTTACTCTGTTTAGTACTGCTCGAGTTAGCAGAATTTCAACTCAAGTTGAAATTTAATTTGAGTTAACTCTTGTAATTTTTCGAAGTTGGCACATCTATACATTTATTATAGGAGATAGTCGTATTTACCGTAACAAATAAAAAAACAGGTATCTCCAAATAGCAGACTGTAACTGTGACAAACCAACTGAAAGAACAGCTCCTGTTCCACGAGCAGTGCCGGATTAAGCAAGCGCGGGGCCCATAGCAAATTCTATCGAGGGGTCCTTGTTCTGCTATGCTGCTATTCTTAAATACAAAGTGGTAAAAAACAATTCAATATCAATATCAATTCAATGTCGACTCCGTGGTGCAGTGGCTTAGCAATGAGTTGTTGCGCTGGAGGCCGCTGGTTCGAATCCCGCAAGGAACAAGTATTTGTATGGCCTACAAATACTTGTTGCGGGTCTGGATGTTTGTCCTCGTGCAATTTATGTTTGTAAACTGCCTCCACGATACAGGCGAAAATTCTAGTGTGGGGGTAAAGTTTAAAAAAAAATCAATGCGTTTATTTGCTATTTCTATTGCTACTCTTGCTACGTGGTTAATCCGGCACTGTCCACGAGATAACAAATCCACTAAAAGACAGTCACAAGTTTTTATTTATTCATAGATATGACAGTTACCTTTATTAGAATAAGATAAAAAATGTTACTGTGACAGCCTGTTACTCGTCACAAGCTCTTTCCTTTTCTCGCGCTTCCTTTCTCCGGTTTTCAACACTTTATTTAAAAAGAGAAGTACCTACTAAGGGCGCTTTACCACTAGAAATGTGCTATACTATATGTTACGGATGCGTTTGATATCCACCAATCATATTCATTGGTCCATATACCTTAGCACTGGTGGAAATAGATTCAACTAAGCTATTTTTTATATGGATGGATGCGTGCTCTGGATGCATGCTCTGGATGCGAACTCTGGATGCGTGCCCTGGATGCGTGCTATGGATGCGTACTATGGATGGTAGCTATGTGCAGAGCAGAGCACCTACAATAGGCATGCGGGTTTTCACCGAAATTATACATGCAACCGTGGAAGCAAAAACTTATTTTTTATCTCGCAATATGCGAAAAAGAACTCGTGGAGGAAAATAAATTGCTGTTCACCTGTTCACTCCAACGAAGAAATCATAGATTCTGGATGTAAAATGATATTAAATATCACTCGATACAATCTGAATACTTTACATTGTTCCAAACAGTTGACGATGTGACGTTCCAGAATTCTTACAGAGTGACAAGAAGTAAAATCGTTACATAACATGATCGAACCATATATCAAGAAAGAAGACGTGGTAGAGCCATGCTGCTGCTATATTATGGTTTAACACGAATGGGTCGGCTCGACCGGGGAAGGACCACGCTCTCATAGAATACCATCGTAAAATAGCAGCTTAACGCTGCTGTGTTTCGTATGGTGAGTGTAGAGAACCGGCGACCCATTTTACTGGAAACGAGGCATTCCATCTTAGTCCTCATGGGTGACAACGCATCTGCATTTTAATTCGTAATCGAAGATAGATGTAGATGTCTATGGGCCACAGCAACCACTTAGCATCAGATGGACTGTGTGCTCGTTTGTCATCCTTATCCTATAAAAAAAGATACTCACTTCAGAAAATGTACGAAATCAGTACGAAAGAAAGATTAGTGGTTTGTTTAAAGTAAGCAGACTTTCGAGCTGCGCATTTGCCTCGCACAACTACCTCGCGGCGGCGCATAGTCATAGCACATCTTACCTGCCCCGCTACATAGCTTATCATCAGTGGAAACGGTTACATAGTTTCGTAGCTTAGCTTTCACATCCTCGCAGCATAGCTGAATAGCACATCTCAGGTGGAAAAGCACCTTTAGACTGTAATAACAAAGTGCTATTTTGTAACAGGTTTTTGGAACTGTTATGTATGTGGAACTGGAATAGGCAGAACATATATATATGATAATATTATGTGATCTTACATGTTACAGCCCACTCCTAATTTATTATAGTTTTGGGTAAAGAATATCGAAATATCGATATTTTCTCACAACATTAACGATATTTATCGTTGATATTTTTTATTGTCAAAATGTCCAGTAATCAGTTTTGGCCCTCATCCTACTACATCATGTAAAACATGACGATATATCGATATTTATTACGCGATATTATTGATACTGTTTAAAAGTATCGATATATTTATTTCCCTTGCCCATCCTTAATTAATTAGTCTTACACCCTTAAACCGTAACCAAGACCAGCCGGGCTATTCACAATCGTCTCGGAAAGCGAATTCGACTCGGATTCGATAACTTCTCGCACCGAAACCAATAAACGCTATTCACATTTAACGTTCGGATAAAGGTCACTTAGATACATCCCATAACTATTGTTACGAACTTGGGGTTCGAGACAATTAAAAACTGCCGATTAAATTACCAAAATTGACACTTTAATTACGGATACCAATTACAATCTAAAAACACACTAATAATAAAACACAGTTCGCCGTTATTTCGCTTCGAAGTATTCTCTTGTATCGCCAATTCAATACTGCCCCGGTCGTGGTCTATACCGGCCTTATATAGGGCCTCAGATAGTTTCCAGAACCTTCTACTGTAGCGACATCTAGAATGTTCGAGTACATATTGGTCCCGAAATTTCTGGAAGGATCTCGACTCTCCTAGTTCTGCTACTCGACACTAGAGGGCGCTAGTGTGACTAGTGTTGCCATGTACAAGACATTAATAGTGGCGCGCAATACTTTCATTTACTCGACACTAGGGGGCGCTAGTGTAACTAGTGTTGCCATGTACAAGACATTAATAGTGGCGCGTAACACTGCCCCCTCCTAAGACATGCTCGTCCCGAGCATTATTGGCCCCATAATAACGCGCCAGTCGATCCACATGGACAATCTTAGGAGTACCTCTGGCACCTTACTGTATCCGGTAGGTTACATCATTGATCCTTGTCACAATCCGGTACGGTCCGTCCCATTTAGCTTGAAGCTTAGGAGATTTCCCTTTGCTGCGAACTGGATTGTGTAACCACACTAGTGAACCTTCATCAAAGCCCTTGTTGTTCATTTTGCGGTCATACCGTGTTTTCATCTTCTCAGACGTTTGCTGGCCCGTCTGCCTGACGTGCTCATAAATGTCATTCATTTTGTTCCGCAAGTCATTTGCATAATCGGTTATACTGCGTGGGGCATCAGGTGGTATTCCGGTGATCAGGTCTGCAGGCAGCCGCAATTCTCTCCCAAAGTTTGCGAAAGCTGGTGTCACTGATGTACTTTCGTGAACAGCGCTTCGATATGACAACAAAAACGGTTGTATGTGCCTGTCCCAGTCTCGTTGCCGTTTTTCCACAACTTTTGCTAGGTACCTCTCCAATGTCTGATTAAATCTTTCTACCATTCCATCAGATTGTGGGTGGTAAGAAGTTGTTCGTGTTTTCTGAGTACCCATAACTCGGCAAGTTTCCTGGAATATTTGAGACTCAAAATTCCTTCCTTGATCGCTGTGAATCTCTAAAGGTACTCCAAAACGACAGAAGACTTCATGAACTAGTTTATCTGCGAATGTTGAAGCTTCTTGATTTGGAATGGCGAAGACTTCTGGCCACTTAGTGAAGTAATCCATCACTACCATGAAATACTTGTTACCACTTTCAGTTTCTGGAAACGGCCCCGCAACGTCAATGGCTATCCTCTCCCATGGTGCACCAACATTGTACAATTTCAATGCGCCTCTACTACGAATTTGAGGTCCCTTTACAGCCGCACAACTTGTACATTTGCGGCACCAGTCCTCGACATCGTCACGACAGTGGACCCAGTAAAACCGTTCTCGGATCTTCAGGAGAGTTCGTTTAACTCCCAGGTGGCCTCCTGAACAACCACTATGGTACAGCCGTAGAATATCCGGCACTTTAGCCTTAGGGACAACCATTTGCAAATGACACCTGTCTCCCCGACCATTTTCCCATTTACGGCACAGGACTCCATCCTGAATCAGCAAGCTGTCCCATTGGGCCCAATAGCTTTT